CTAATTTCTTATATCATAGCTCATCCATTGTAGAATTTGTTTGTAGATATTGTTTTTAAATTTTACTTTAACTTAAAATAAAGCCAAACGATTAATTAATTAAATAATTTGTAATATCATAAAAGTTATACACATACATGAATTTTATATTTTATTAGAAAATATAGTATATAGAACAACATAATAATTTAGTATCGAGCACTAAGAGCCCATAAACGCGGATGGCAATGCGTAAATTTTTACGAACATTAATTGTTCGCGAAAAAATTTTTTGTAATTTGTAGTAATTTGGCTTTATTTGAGTTAAAATAAAGTTATATTCAAATAGTTCAGAAACGATCGTAAAATCGAGCGATCGTTACGATGAGCGTGAAATATTTACGCTTATTTGCCGGTAATTAAACGGCAAATTTATCGACAAAAGAAGGAGTGTTTATCTCCTTTTTCGATCTCTGATTAGAGATCGAGCGAGAAATTGGCCAGGATCAACGAAAAGTAAGTTCAACTGGCCTGAAGAAAAGCTTTACGTACAATAGTACGTAATGTCGGACATTTATTCACACGGTTAGGGCATGCGGTTAGAGAATGTAATTAGGGCACGTAATTAAAATATGCGTGATTAGAGATAGGTTTTCCTCGAATAATTTCACTTAATCGAGGAATAGGATTGTTAGGGCTATTAGGTGATCATTAAGATTTTGTAATTTTCCATTCAAAAAGTAGAGGATTGTTAGGGCTATTATGTCATTAATTTAGCTGATTTTATATTATGTATCTTTTAAGGAATCAGGAAATGTAGGTTTAAATAATATTAGGGAAAACAAATTAATAAATATTTCAATAATTACGAGGGTCGTTTGATAAATTTGGTAAAAAAGCAAGTAAAACACATTGTTTTGGAAAAAATCTACGTTATTTCTCAACATAGTCTCCATTAAGGTTTATACACTTGGTAGAACGAGATTCCAATTTTTTAACCGTCGAAAAAATAGACTGTCTCAAAACTTGCAAAATACTCGTTGAATTTCACGGAAATTTACCAAACTTATCAAACGACCCACGTATATTATTAATATTAAGAATTTTTAAGGGATCAATATTTTTTGAGTGTTTTTTTATAGGTATTTTATTTATATAAGGATGAAAATTAACTTGTTAACATTCAATAATTTGTATAGTAATACGAATTTTTTTGCGAAATTTTATGTACTTATGTAATACGAAATTTATGTACTTTTATGTAATACGAAATTTTAAATGAAAAATTTAAAATACAAATTTATATATTAAGCTATTTTTTAGTAATATGAATAATAAATTTCGTATATTTATGAATTTATAAGTTATTTTTAAATATAGAAATTAAAAGATTTAAAATAGAATTAAGAATGATATTAAAGAATAGATATTAAAGAATGAATAGAATTTATAGGAAAAGATTTATTATTAAAATTAAAAAAAAAATTTTAATTTAAATAATATTTTTAAATAATAACTTTTCGAAAATTTATATATTCATTTATTTATATATTTATGGTTTTAATTTAAATAGTAATTTTTACAAAATTTATATATTTATATACTTATATATACATTTATATACTTATATATACATTATATATACTTATATATACATTTAAGGTTTTAGTTTAAATTATAATAATTTTTATATAAAATTTATATGTTTATTTTCTTATATATAGATGTTTGTGTATTTATGTATTTAAAGTTTTAATTTAAATAATAATTTTTATATAAAATTTATATGTGTATTTTCTTATATATAGATGATGTTTGTGTATTTATGTATTTAAAATTTTAATTTAAATAATAATTTTTATAAAATTTATATATTTATATATATTTTGAGATATATATAATTTCATTAATTGTATTTCATTAATTTTATTTATATAAATTTATCTAGACAGCTTATATTATTAAAGTTTAACATCGAAGTTATTAAGAAAATTATTTTTTTCAGATATTTGTGAATATATATTGAATGTATATAATATTGAATATAGTGAATATTATGAACATATAATAGGATAGTAGTTTGTTAGGGCTACTCCATATAATGCTCCTTATGCACATGGTTCCGGGGACTTGCACGTTGGAAGACTAAGGAAAGGCGCGTGGGGTTTTTAGTTGGTAGTCCCTGCCGTTAAAATGGCGGCGGGGAGAGCCCAACACTACCCCGACGGGACCGCTAAATAGGTCCCGACGGGGTGTGCATAAGGTGCATTTTCCCCACGTAAAAAAAAAAAAAAAAAAAATTGTTAAATTATGTTGTATTACATTACAAATTATATTATATTTTAATAATGAATTTCAACAATGAATAACATAATATCCGATATGAACAATACCGTGCTAATGATTTTGTTTTACGGTCTTGTTATGCAAATTTAAATTTATATACTATATTGCAAAATAAATGCTGCAATTGTATATATTATATTATATATAAAATTATATATAATATAACCCTTCCATGGGGTACACCTTGTCGCGGTGGGAGGGCTTAGTACTTGGATGGTGTCTTGAGATTTATCTTAAATTTTTCTATTTATGATAAATCTTAAGGTGCCTGAAAGGGAAGCTAAGTACCTTTTCGCGTCGTCGGTGCTATAATAATTGTCATTGATTCATTGAAATGTTAAAATCATTGCTATTGGGAGTGGTCTGGAAGATCTGAGATTCGTTCCATTTTGCAGCGGAACTTTTGACATTTAACGAGTCGTTTAATTTTCCTTCGCGGATCAATCTCGATAGAATTCTGCGTAAAACATACGTTAAAAAAAGTCGCTCTCTACATTTAATATTGTTCTTCTACTTTGTCGGATATTAACTGACGATCGGGCGAAATTACTTTAATCTTTCGAATTGTTATCATCAGATTATCCGCGAGATATTTTTGTCTTACATTTAATTGCAATTATTATTTTTTTACTTGATCGTTGGCTTATACCAAATTTCGCTTATTTTTTCACGTGTCAAACTTTCTTAAAAAATTAAAATGTATCAATATAAATACTTTTCTTTTTGTAATTAAAAGATATAATTGATGATAAGATATAATAATTAATGAAGAAATATAATAGATAATGTAAATGTATTGGTGATTTTTTCATCGCAACTTATTTATATTACGCAATCCTTAATAAGTTTTGTAATGAAAAATCGATAATTAATAAATGTCACGAATAATTTGAATCGTCTGTTTGAAAATCATTTGATTTAATTTTAAATGAATGTTGTGTGCATTTCAGACATTTTCGTGTAATTTTGTATCATAAGATATTTTGTACTAATTTATAAATATTATAATTATATTTACAAATTATATATTGTAATTATAAATAATTAGATAAATATTATAAATTCTTATCTAAATATATTTTATATGTTGTAAATATTATTATATATTGTAATAATATTTTATAAATTATTTATGTTATACTTTATAGTTCAATTATTGTATATTTCCCTTTATTTTATGAAATAATATTATATTATATAATATTATATAATTATAATTATATAATTATATATTATTTAATATTATATAATTATATAATTATATATAATTATATAATTATATATTATATAAGATCAAATATTTATTATATTTAAATAAAATAATTATAATAAAAATTTTACCTCTTCGATGGTATCTCCATCTTAATGAAGGCATTTGCCGGGTGAGGAGGTTTGAGTACTCTAATGATCCGGAGAGCTATGTCGGCGGTAATGTATTTAGATAGTAAAAATAATCATTTTTATGTCATTTTGCCAGTCAAATCGCGTCAAAATGAAATCAAAATGACTATTTTTGCTGTATAAATAGTTACCGGTAAGGTCACCTATGCCGGACAGGTCTAAGGGGAAGAGTGAGACTAAGAGAGATACTGTAGTTATTTATACTGTAGTTATTTAGTAATATTTTTAATAAAAGCTATATATATATATATATACTCGTATATATTAATGACGGAAAGTAAAATCCGTACTTAAGGATTGAAACATCTTTTTACAGACACAACAAAATTTTCATACGATATATGTAAAAGAATTATATGAAAAAATTAACAAAATAATTAATAAATATATATTACTTAATTTTTTTATCATGTAAATTCTTTGTTGTGTATGAAAAAATTCTTCTTTTTTGCGTAGAATTTCTTCTACATTTTTATTTTAAAATGTTTTGCAAATATATGTCTTTACTATTTATTTTATTATCAAAAGTATATATAATTAATATGTTTATTAAAATTGCATGTTATCTAATATATAAAACATGCAAATATGTAACTGTATTCCTTCATATTATAAAGGGTTTTAATTATTAACAATGTTAAATAATTTTTTCTTTATATTTATGGTTGCCTAGTTGAAAGTATATCATCACGTTTTCAATGTGTGATTAATAATTAATTATCTTTCATAAAAAAATATATTTTTTGTAACTACGTATAAAGCGATAGATTTCGAAACGCATATTTCGCGTAATTTAATTATTTATTTAATAAAAATATATAAATATGGCAATGAATATAGAAAAATATTTATTTCATCTTTGAACATTACATTGGAAGATTTGCAGTATCTTTCGCGCATAGAATAATTTATTTATTATCAATTTATATACATGAGTGTCTTGTTATACTCTGGTGCTACTGGCATTTCGTGCACACATAGCACGAAACGAAACCAGAAATTGTGCACATTATACCCTCTGGAACATTCATGGACTTTGGCTTTGTAGTTCATGTCCACGTTCATTTTCAATGTCCAGAGAGAGTATCGTTTTCAGGGATCACCTAAAAAGCAGTCTTCTTGAAAGAATAGACACTATTTCTGTTCTTATTGCCATCTGTATTACCGACACGTAGCACGGAACAGAACCACAATTTCTAGATATGTTATCCATTAAGAAATTTTCTGGAAATGGCTACGTAGTTCATTGTGTCTACGCTTTATATAAATGTTAATTTATTGCTGATGTAAAAAGAAAGCTAAACATCCAATTACACTCGTATAATATTCAGCAAAGTTGTTTAAAATTCATTTTCGTAAAATTAAAATTTATTATTCCGAGTTTTTAATGTTTTTAAAAATGTGTTCCTTCCACTAAATTACAGGTATTGTACACATCTAAATCAGGAATCACTTTGTCAATTATATAACTGATGATCCTACAGAGAATCCTGTTATCCTGCATATATATATGTAGCTCACTTTGTTATTATTTTCAGATCAATTATATATAATTCATATATAGCTTATATAATCCATTCCCATATAATACTCTGATATCATGTCGACTTTGGAAGATAAAATTTTGGGAGAGAAGTTGCACTACTACTGTAGCAGTTCGAGTGAAGATGAGGAAAATGATTCTGAAGATTCCAATGAGGAAGCTAATGATGTAAAATGTATTGAGGATAATGCGCACTATGTTGCGCCTGCAGAATGGGATGGAGTTTCGAATAATACAGGACCTAAAGGTGTGATAAAGGTATGAAATGAGCTTATGATGCTAATTCTAGTTTGTAATCCATTGTAATTATTAATTGTGGAAAAAATACTAAAATCCATGTAATTATATTTAAGTCTTATTATCCAATATACATAAAAAAAAATAACTGTTAATATTAAGAAAATAATAAGAAGTCTTATTATCCAATATACATAAAAAAAATAACTGTTAATATTAAGAAAATAATAAGAAACTTGTAATATTAAATTGACATGTATTTTTGATAGGATTGGCAAAGATACAAGCAACTAGAAGCAGAAAAGCGAGAATTGCAAGAAAGAGAAAAATTGCAGTTAATTAAAAAACTGAGTTTAACATGTCGCAGTGCTTTGGACGAGGAGAAGGAAAAGCTGAATGAGACAGATCCAGATTTGGAAAATTTATTGACCGATGACTTCCTATTGGAATACCAAAAGCAGAGAATGAAAGAAATGCTTGCAAAAACAGAGAAGCTTTACTTTGGAAAAGTTATTGATTTAGAGAGTGCGGATCAATTTTTGCAAGCTATCGATGAAGAAGACAAATCAGTGACTGTTATAGTTCATATTTATGAAAATAATGTACCTGGTTGTGAAGCTATGAATGGATGCTTGATATCTCTCGCTGAAGAATATCCTCGTGTGAAATTTTGTAGGATTCTAGGTTTGTTAATTAAAAAAAAAAATTATGCATATAAGGTTTATTAGCCATCATTTATTAGATAAATTTAAAATGCTCCTGTCATCAATTTTAAAACTATAAATTAATAGAATCTTGTTTTTATTTTTCAACAATTTTAATAAATTCAATTAAAATCTTTTATATTACTCTTTCAGGCTCAATTGCAGGTCTCAGCAAACAATTCAAAAAATTTGGCGTGCCAGCATTGTTGGTATATAAAAAAGGACAAGTTATAGGAAATTTTGTACACATGACAGATCATCTGGGAATGGATTTTTATTCATCAGATGTGGAGATGTTTCTTATTGAACATGGAATGCTCATTGACAAAAACTGTGTACCTCTCATCATTTCAAAAAACGAAAACGAAACCTCTAGTAATTAAAAAGAAACTTTAGTATTAAGATAATTTAATTTCGCAAGAAATCTTTTAATAAACGGTGTCGAATAATATATTAATTAAAAATCACACAATGTGTAAGATGTTTAACAAAGAAGAATCAAATATAAAGATTATAAGATATAAATATTTATTTTTATAGGAAAATACTTTTTATAGAAAAATACTTATTTTTATATATTAAATATTTAATTTTATTATCAAAATATTCTCCAATTTTATTTTAACTTGTCTAAAATATGTTTCTTTTTTTTTATTGCATTGCAAAGCTGCGAGTAATTTTCCAATATCTTATCATATTCTGTGTTTCTCAAATTGTCATAAAGCTTCTTTAAATCTTCCTTTTGACGAATTTCATCTTGGATTGCTTTCAATTTCCCCTCAACTAGTTGATTTAGCATTTTGAAAGCGATGACTGTGGTTGGGGTCTCCTTGAACATTCTGATTGTACAAGAAAGATTTGTTAGTTTTGCTTGCAGCTCGGCAACTTGCGCCTGCAGTAGTAAATGTTCTGCTTTCTCCAAATATGCTTGGTTCATATCCTCATATTTCATCTTATTCCATTTGTCGATTAATTTTATGTATTTCAGAGAATCGCTTTTGCATTGCAAAATTAATTCCTCAATTTTATTCTTCCACTCTACTGCTGATATGTCATAATATGGAAATTTAATATGAACATTGCATTCATCGCTCTTCAATGCCTTTTTGACATCTCCTCCTAATTCTTCATATCTGTAATGTACAGAAATGAATATAATTATTAATAAGATATTAAAAATTTATATATATTATACTAAATATTTTTTTATAGATATTGATAGATATATTAAACTAATAAAATTATTTTTTAAATAGTAATAATGACATATTTACCTTAATATCATATCGTGTATTTTTTCTCGAAGCATTGTTTCAATGCAGCATTTAATCTCTAATTTCTCATCAGGATTTAAATCAGATGATGGTAAATCAATAATTCCCAAAAGCATCAGTTCATCCTGCATATGTTTTATTGATGAAGGAAGATGCATATACTTGTCAAGTTCATGATTTAAGAGCAGTACTCGCAATTTGTTTGCTGTGCTCTTAGACAGAACATCTTGGTGATTCAAGGATGCTTCTTTCACACACTGGTAAACAATATTGGCTTTTCTGTGCTCGTTTATATTTTTTTCGCACAATGAAAAAGACTTCATCGCTTTCTCAATTTCATTCGTGTCTTGCATTAATCCAACTTTATTATTATTACCAGAGAGAAACCTGAGATTAATTATTTACCCTTATTTGACTGTTATAATAGGTAAAAAATATTCGAAACAAACATGTCAGTGATGTAAAAAAAATCATGGGACAAGTGGGATGCACAATCTCTATCGACAAGGAAATTGGAAGTTGGTAGCAGTGTATTGGCTCTCTTTTTCGAGCATGCGCATTGAATGGGAAATTTTTTAATTGATTTTTTTATTAACAATAATTACAATATTTCTAAAATATTTTTAAAATATTAAAATATTTTATCATTAACAATAATTAAAATTATTTCTATATACCTTATATTACTTAGTAATATATAAAATTATTTAAAAAAATTGAAACAATTGAACAGAATTTTAAATGATTGTTTTGAAGAATTTTTTCCTTAAAATAAAAACAAATATTTATAAGTTCGTTTAATTAAATAATCACAAACATGAAAAATAATATATTAAATAATATTTAATAATAATATATTAAATCAATATATTAAAATCATTCGTATTCATTTGCCAATATTATTCGCAGTTTATTATTTGCAAATATATGTCGCAGAAAAATAAGTATAAATAAAATTAAAATGTAAAATAATTCTGCGACCCCTATAAATAATATTGGCAAATAAATACGGATGATTTTAATATATTGATTTTGTTATTTTTCATACTGAAGAAGACTAAGTAAAGTCGAAAACGATTGTGATTATTTATATAATTAAACGAACTTATAAATATTTGTTTTTATTTTATTTAGACCTTAGTAATTAGCTCGTATTATTGGTCCTAGAATTTTTATTATTGCTTTGCAACACACGAACAGTATTAGTGATATTATTGTTTAATTTTTGTCTTAATTTTTTCCTTAATTTTACATTATAATAATATAAAAAGATATAGGAATAATTACTGATAAAGAAATGCCAAGGAAATTTTAAATTTTTATTTTTAAAGTTTCTCGTTATTCGATACGCGAAGATAGAGGTTACCAACAAAAATTTGCGGGGACAAAAATTTCCTATATAAGGATTTTTTCCTAATAAAAAAAGCTCTAGGAATTCCCTAGAAAATTCCTTAAAATTCCTAGAAATTTCCCTAAATTACTTTTTTCGAAATAACCGTTCGAGACGAGCACGACGGTCGACCATCTCGTTGGTTTCGCACGGTCGTCGGCGCAGTCGGGCAGTGTCCGCGGTCGGCACCTCGCGATGCGGAACGTCGCGTCGCGAAACGACGATTGATAATTGTAAGTGCGTGCGCGCGCGCGCACGGGAGCAGGTGTGCGCGTGTGCGTGTGTATGTGTATGTTGCGAGTGTGAGGCTCGCGGATTCGGCTCGACGTCACTCGATTAGCTCGCCGGGCATGGCGATCGCGCGTTGTTAACGGCGACGTACGCGAACCGTTCACCGCAACGTCGTCCCCTCGGGAGGGCGAGAACGTCGTTCTGGAGGTGCCGCGAAGCGAAATCGTACGGCTCGTCCTAGAGAGAGAGAGAGAGAGAGAGCGCGAGCGAGAGCAGGAGCTTGAGCGAGGGAGAGGGGGAGATGCTCGGGCGCACATGGTGACATCGTCTTCCGGGTCAGTTGGAAAGTAGAACCGAGGCTTAAGCTCCGTGTTTATTAAGGTTTCCCCCTTCCCCGGATGACGCCGCCGCCGACGACGACGGCGTTCCTGCGGCACTTTTGGCGAGCTTACGGAGAGGCGACGCTTCCATGGGGGGAGGCCTATGGGGTGTAATGGCGATTGGGAAGGTGTTTTGTTTAATGAGATTGCTGGCGAGGACGATGCTTGACTTGTTGCGTTGAGTTTGGGCTTTTTTTCGTATTAGTATGCATTTGACATCATCTCTTTGATCTAATGAAGCTGAAGCTGTATATAAGAAATTATAGGAGATAACTTGCAAGTATTGATGATCAGACAGGAGTGGATTAGAAAATTTATTTTTAAGGGAATTGAGGGATATTTTGGCGAATTTTAAGATAGATATTAGATTTTATATTATTAATATTAGATTTTCATTCCTGATGTTATTGTGGCATTATTGCAATCGTATAATGCAATCTGGAAGATTGACGTTTGATGCTTATTGGAAAGAGCTATTTTACTTAATAAGGGATGTGTATAAAGATTATATCATTAATTCTATTCATATGCATTTTATATTTTAAATTAATATTATTACGATATAGCATCGACGTTTAATGGTGATTAAAGAAGCTAGAGAATTTATGAAACTCAAGCTCTTTTCAATAAGCATCAAACGTCAAACTTCCAGATTGCATTATATGCTTTGATTAAAATCCAATAATGTCACAATAATATCGAGAAATAAAATTTGTGAATTTCATTTGCACGATTAATACTTGATTAATTTATATATTATTATCATTGATACATATTAGCTGAAGTAGTCTGGAAACTGTACAATGCAATTTGCGAGTATTACATTTAATATTCTATGACAATTACAAAAACATTTTGTATATGATTGGGATTTCAAATTTTATATTTAATCGGGATTTAATAGGAATCTTGTATAGAAAAATCAAATGATGTATCATATAATTTCATAATTATTTATTATTAGATTTGATTAATATCTTGTATATATGATTAGATATTTCTGTATGATAACTGCAACATTATCAGTTATTTATTATCACTCCAATATATTTCTATATTAAAGAAAAAGCATGAAATTAAATTTATTATAAGTGACTCATACAAATGTAAAAGCTGTGTGTATATGTGTGTGTAGATATTTATTATCAGAAAATATGAAGTATCTAGATACATTCATAGATACTTGAAATATATCTAGATAAGATAACACTGTCAATGAATCCCACAATAAGCACCACTGATACAAATCTGATATAAATCAATCTACCATCATATAAGCAATTATATGAGTGATGCAAAATCACACCTGTCTACCATAGGAACAGCACTCAAGTATTGATTGCAATAGCATGGTGTGTTATGGGAGGAGGGAAGCCCAGACAAGAAAGACAGACCTACTTATTATAGTATATCTTATATTTACATCATTTAATTCTTGCTTTTATTAATATTTTCTTCTGATATCCTGTATAAATTTATAGCAAGGTTTAACATTTATTTTCTAAATTTATGTTGGTTACATTTTTATCAAAGTTTAATTAATATGTCAATTGACAGCTTCATGATTATAAAAATTATTATCTTTTATTATTAAACAATTTGTTACACAAAATTAACTTTTACTATCATTGATTCTGAATTGTGTTTTTATACTTTTCTATTTTTATATTGTATTATATTTTTAATATATATATGCATATGTATGTGTATTTTTTATGTTATTTTGAATTATTTTTATTTTATTTTTAAAATGTGAATAATTTTAAATTTTGGAAGGAATATATGGGGTATTAATTTTCTAAGAAAGGTAGATACTCAAATTCTGTAAAGGTCAGGAAATCCAATTGACTGTGCTAATGTGTGATAGCTATAGACGAGTGATAGAAAGTGGTGCGTTTTATAATATAATACAAAGACATGATGTCTAAATACAGATTTTAGTTACGATTATCAATCGTAAATTTATTTTTTTCAATACACAAATTTCTTTCTTATACTACTTGATAATTTAATATGATTTATTTAATTGATTAAAGTTGGATTATTCTTAAATTGAATTAAAATTGGGTTACACTTAAATTGTGTAAATTGTAATTAAAAAATATAATTAAATTAATAATTGATTATATTAGAAAATAACAAAATAAGAAAAGCAAAAAGAATATTTTATTAAATAATACATTAAATTTTTTATATTAAATTTATTAAACATATGATTATTTATTTATATTATTATATTAAATTTTTTTTGTTAAATGTAAATTAGATATGATTGATTAATAATTAGTTTATATAAACATACACACACACATACACATATACAAACATAAAAAGATTGTATATATATTTATCTAAATATTCTAACACTTCAATAATTATTAATTAAAATATAGATTTAATATTTAATTCTTTTTTTTATAGATCTTGATGCAATGAAGTGCTTGAATGACAATGGGCTGAAATACTTGAATTAGAATACACATAATATCAAATACATATTATCAGTGAGGTAAGACAATAAAATTTTTGTTAAATGTTAATCAAAATATTTAATATTCTTAAAATAATTAATTTTAAATTATATTCTTTCTGTATACATGTTTAATACATGTATTTATATTTCTAAAATTTGCTAGTAACACCTTGTAATATTTTATTAAGGAAAAGAATATTTTATATTACGTATTTTTTAAAATAAAATAATAAATATAAGATAGTGGAAAATAATATTGAAAGCATATATGAAGTATAATTTTATTTTCTTATGTAAGTTTACAGTCAGACATGGCAGCCATAGAAGAGAAAAAGCGAGTCGGTGGCTCCAAAGTGTCAGCCATCGCGAACATCTTCCAGTCCAAGCCGCAATTGGACAATTTAAACCATAGAACGAACAATATTCTGTCGGAGGGATTTAAAGAGCCAGCTGTCCCGCTGAAAGAATCCCCGACGCAAGTAACAGTAGTCAGAACAGAGAGTCATGTAGCACGTTTTAACAATGCTCGAGCTCTCTTTGAGAAGCTCGGCGAGGAAAATAAATCAAACAAGCCGTAAGTGTGCAGTTTATATTATTAAATTTTATTTTATTTTATTCTATTTTACATTTTGTTCTTTTTATAAAATGATAATTATATATTTTTGCTTAATTTTATCAATCAATTATTACTTCTTTGAATTTTATCAATTATATTATTTTTACATTTTTGTATTTCTTAATAAAAGTTATTAATCAATTTATAATTATACAAATTAATATTTTAAATTGTTTTTTCTCCCGTTCTTTTACTCTCTCACTTTAATCACATTGATTATGTTATTACATTACACTTATATATATTATTATATTATGTTATTAATTTTTCTTATAATTAATTTTATTATATTATATTATATTATTTTATATTTTATACTATTATATTATATATTATTATATTATTAGTTTCTTTGTAATTAATTTTTAATTAAAATTAAAATTCTTTTCATAATTTTACATTTATTTGACCTTTCTCGTTTGATTTATAGGGTGGACCGGGTTACTAAACCCAACAACTTGCACGGTCTTCGATCTCGCTCTAGTTCCGCGAACTCGGGTTCCGGGTGCACTTCTCCCGCGAGGTCGCCCCGTCCTCGTTCACCTTCTCCACCGGGCAGTCGCGAGCACCTGAGCACGTGGAGCGCTAGCGTACCTGCTTTGAACGCGGAGCGGCATTTCGAGAACGGCCACTGTGCGCCAGAACGACGTCCTTGCGCAGGTAAGGTCGAGCGAACGTTAGGCAAAGAGAACGATCGTCCGGAACGGCCGGAGAAACCGGAACGTCGGCCGAACTCGAAGGAGCTTATCGAGAAACAGAAGAATTGGACTAGCCACTTCTCCAAGACCAGACCGAGCCGCTACAACTCCGACCCGAATCGCTCGTTGGTCCAGACATCTCTAAACTCGCAGAACGCTCAGAACCAGATCCAGCAATCGACGTCTGTCGATGCCTGTCAGAATTCGGTGAGCGCGATCAATGACTCCACCAATCCGGCGACCAGGTCGGCGAGCTTCTGTTCGGCACGTTCGCCCCCACCGCCACCTCCGCCTGTTCGGAATTCGTCCGCAGCCGGCAGGAGAGAACGACCGGCGAGTATAGCTGTCAACCCGTCCGAGCTATTGGAAAGCCCGGAATACGCGACGGTAGAGAGGTTTGACGATATCTCGCCAACCATTCCCGAGTATGCCGTTGTTCAGAAGACGAAGAAGCTCCAAGATAATACAAAAGAAAGTCAAGACGGTGGCGCTGGTAAGGCTCAAGATGCCACATTGCCAGAATATGCTGTTGTGCAAAAGAACAACTCGAAGGCAGCTTTGAAATCAACAGAGAAGGAAGCTCCCAAGATCAGTGCAAGTCAAAAAAGCACAGCACCTCCGGAGACAACTTCAGGAAATAAGATTGTAACTTCGAGGTCTACAGAAAGCGCCAAGGACATTTCTAAGATCACTTTGCAGAATTTAAAAAGCTCGGCATCTGTAGATGCAGTTTCAGCAAATAAAACTGCGGTTGTAAGGTCAGTAGAAGAGACCAAGGAGATTTCCAAGCCCGTTGTGCAGAGTTCAAGAGGCTCACCAGTTGCGGAGGAAGTTCCAGGATGCAAAAACGCAATTTTAAAGCCAGCGGAAAACTCGAAAGAAACCTCGAAGAATTCTGCACCCGCGGATGGAGCACCAGTATTCAAAACTGCGATTTCTAAGCCAATAGAGGATTCAAGAGAAAAAACTGAAGGATTAAAAGAAGTTATAAAATGCTCGACTGCTGCAGAAAAAACTGCAGAGTCTAAAACTGCCGTCACAAATGAATGTAATAATGATCTTTCCGGGCAAACCAAGCCATCACCAGTATTACATTACGAGGTTTCTAGTCCAACTCGAAGCGTCTCGACGGATAACGTCCTAGTAAGGAGGGAGAGCGATTTGCTGGAGGCACCGGAATATTTTAATTGTCCTCCAAGCCCGATTCACTCGCCGGCAAAGACCTCTGAATGGAGAAATGAGTGGCTGGCGAAGAACGACGAGATCCTAAAGAGAACCGTGGATCTGAAAATCTCGACGAAGGAAGCCCCGGAGACCGAGTTGCGTAACGAAATCATTAGACCGGATCCAAGGCCCGATTGGGCCAGACCGACCGCAAATGCGAAAAGGAAAGACACTGTGGTGGACGAGAAGAAGGGTGAACTGATACGCTCTCCAGAATCCGAACTGGGACTGCCTTCCGTAGGCACAGACAGCGCTTCCTCTAGCATGAGCTCGCCTAGCTCACCCTCCAAGGATAGCAAGGAAGAGAAGGCGGAAAAGGAAATGTCGGAAAAGCATCAGACAGGTAAATATAATTAATTAAGTATACTAAAAATATTTTTCTTGTGTAACTTTATATATATATAATTACAAAAAATATTTTAGGCTCGGAAAATTTTATTTTTATTATCCACAATGCATATAATTTGAATTATTAATATTATAAATTGAATTGAATTTATTTTTTGATTTTTATATTATTTTAATTTATATTTTGATTTTAATTTAATATATATTTATTACACTCGCATATATGTATGATAAATAGTTTGTTTTAAATCCCCGCATTTTTCTTTACGAGGCATTGATAAAGCCAGGTGATTTTTGCTGTCGTGGGCCGAGATGGCAGTAGGCCAAAACGCCAAAAAGTAAAAGTACCAGACGCAATCCCCCTTCTTGCTCCCCTTTTCTCCCTCCCTCATTCTGTCGCCTTCTCCTACCAGTGTGCCACGGTATTATTTATAGAAATCACTGTGCAGCTTGTCCAGCGGCCAAACGTTCGTGCTTCGTCGCGTTCACTTTGCAAAAGTGTCTCTGGGACTTTTCACAGAATTTTGGAATTTTGAAATCATCAATATTGTGCTCCAAACAAATTCTCGATTATTATAATAACTTGTCCGAAAGTAAAATGAATTATAATGCAGTTTGTACATTTTTGAAAACAGCAAGTTTATAAAAAATACTTTGATATATAAACATGATATAAATTTCTGAAAATAGAAAATATTAATTTGTTAACAAATACATATAAAATAATCTTTGGGAAAATATTTTTTTTTGGAAACAGAGGAATATGTTTATATAGCTGTACACAAACAAAATTTTTTTTATTCTAAATTACTTCTATGTGCGTATAATATATAATATATATTTCTCTTTTATAAATTATAATAAATTAATAAAAAAATTTTTTTAATTTTAAAAATTGTGTGTAAATTGAAAATTTAAATAAAATGAAAAGTAGGCACATAAATTATTATAAGAGAAAAAAGGAAGTGAAAGTTTTTATACTGAGTACTTTTCTATAATAAATCAATTTAGGAAATATCAAATCTTAAAATATAAATATATATTTTTCTATAGAAACAATTTATAAATCGAATAAGAGCTTTACGAACCTGAATACTGCTAGTTAAATATATACAACTAATCATTTTATTTAAATAACTCGACAGAAATAAAATTGAATAAAATTATATTAAATAATTCTTCTTTTAATATAAGACTCTATCAAATTTGTATTTGTATCATAATAAGAATTTATAAAGATAAAGGTTATATTCTGTTGTGAATAAATAATATGCGGTAATTGCAAAAATATAGACAACTATAATATAATATTTATATATGTAACATTGTGTTTTTTATGCAATCAAAATTTTTATATCAAAGTGAAGTTTAAAGTTCTACGTACTCCAAAAGGACATAAAATTATGTGCCTGCGATTGCTTTGCATTGATTGTGGAGGTACTTTTGGAGAAGGATGTTGTTTAAATACATTTTTTAGAGTAATAATTCCAGTTTATAATATTATCATTAATTTATTTTGAAATTTCAAATAAAATTTAAAGTAATAATTTCAATATTTTTATAATATTATTAATTTATTTTTCAAATTTCAGGTCGCAATAGTTATGACTTGGAAACAGAGGACCAGGAAAAACCAGCCACGTATCAGAGCTGCATCTCAGATATGGAGAGCGTCTCCGAAAAGGACCAGTTTCAGTTCAATGAAACAGACACGACTACAGTCATTCGACGTTCTCACGTGCGTCTTGATCTCCAGGCTGCGGGTTTAGGCCCACGTCCGCCTTCTGTAATTAGTTCTGACCAGGAATATCCTCCACTGGAACATAAGGATATTCCTGTGCCCTCTCCATATGCTAAAAAGCTACAGAGTGAAGATACTGTTCCGCAGAGTAACGCTGAATGCAAAATACAAACTAAGCCGAGCACAGAAACGAAGAATGATAGCGATACTACAGAGGTGAAGATCAATTCTACGTCTGAAGATTCATTGTCAGAGGCTAAAGTGAAGTCAAGCAGCGATGGAGTATGTCAGAAGACTGTCTCGAATGCGAAGAACGATCAAATCAAGATTAGTGTAAGGGAAAAGATTGCAAAGAACAGGGAGGAAGTCTCTGGCAAGCGTTCCAGCTTTGTGGAGGCGGAAAGCAAGATTGATAGTGTAGACAAAGTGACCCACCGCAACCAGGAAATGAACAATTTTGGATCTATCGCAAAGGAAAGCAATGATGAGGAGAAATATACGACAGAATTGGTGGCCAATTCTGACGTCAGCAACAGAAAGGATTGCATTGCGGCAGTGAATAATGTTTTAAATAGGAAAACGGAGGACGTGGAGCAAATCCAGACAACGTGGGAGCAAGAGAAGCAGAAGGCCGAGCTGGCGAAGCTTAGATTATCAGAAAACTATAATCAGGGTTCTCCGCTGACATCTAATGTGATTTCGCAAAAACATTCTGGCAAAAAAATTGAGCATTCTGCATCAGAAAGCAGTCAGATCGATGACAGTGACTCCAGTGATACTAAAACCGTTACCAATGTTGAGTGCGTGACGATGGATACGCAAAATAATTCTCCTAAATTGACGGAGACACCTTCAAAAACTGGTGTCAATCATATCGCTCCTGTGACGCCAGATACCATGACTCCGGACGAAGCTGAAAATCTGCTGAGCTCTCGGTGAGTATTTTATGTAAGTGGGAAAAGAAATTTTTAATTAGTGTGTGTTAGATTGCATTTGAAATTATAAACAATAAGAATTTTAACAATAAAGATTTCAGATGCTATTTCTGAAATACTTTTATCGATATATCAATGTATTAATATCAGATATTAATGAAAAAAAGCATCTTTTTGTGGAATGGTGCTATCGTTGTTTTTGAGAAATAGATTATAATTTTTGCTCCTCAATCAAGCGACTGCATTTTTCATAATGTGTTTATATATTTTACGGTATAATCAATATTTCTTTTTTGCTACAGCTTTGATATATGTAATTTTTTATTTAAAGCTTAATATTGATATTCATTAATCTTATTTCCTTTTATTTCGATTCTAATACGTTCGTATTTATTTAAATGCAAATCTCCCGGTCGCCTTGGTCTACACAGCATCTTAGAGAAAAAGATCAGGTGAGTATGTTACAATTTTGCAATTTTGCAATTGAACCACAGAAGCACAAATATGTCATTTAATAATTGCAAGCTATTGTATTGACATATTTTAATAGATTTTATTATTTTTCATTGAATTAATTTTGTTACATCCAATGAGAGACTAGAAGAGATTCAGAAAGTTGTTTCCAAGAAGGAGAAGCTTTTATTAAGAAGTTTATATTTTTAAAATATTTTTCGGTGACAAGATTATAATAAATCACTGTCAGATAAATATCAAAAAATGAAAAAAAATGACAACCTTCCGGAATTGAATATCAATTAATTTTTTTCAAGTTGCATAGATGAAGAATTTCTTCCAATTAACATAACTGCTTCTGTCAAACTGTTCAATCGCAGAATTGATTCACTATCAGCGACACGTAATTGTTAGTTCGTAAATCAAAGTTGAATGACTCGTGAACATAAATTAGACAAGGTTCGGCATTGCTATCGGATGAGGAGGCGCAGGAGATAGCGAGGCTGCTGTCTCCCACCGGTGCCGATGGCGTGGCAGGTGATGGGATATCTAATGACAAGAATAAGGAAGGACAGGACAGGGATAGCAGAGACGACCAGGATAACACGCCCGATTGGCTGTCCGATGTCCTGTCTGCTCCTGATTCCAGTCTTATCAATAGCGCTACTCACGATTATAGGTGAACGAGTTTATTTTTCATGTCCTTTTGTTGCGCGTCTCCTTTTGCATCTTTTAATTTCTATTCTCTAGTATTTATATTTCATAACGAGAGATTTTAAGCTTTAAGATTCCTTATATAATGTTAATTATTATAAATATATTATAAATATTATATATATTATAATAATATATTATATATATATATATATATATATATATATATATATAAAATTATATATTATAATTATATATATTATAAATATTAATATAAAATTGTGTGTGCGTGCGTGCGTGCGATTGGAGAATTATTAAATTTTCTACCTTTGAATAATTGAGATTTTCCGAAGCCTTTTGACTTCTCGAATACTTGATATTGTATTTTTGGAATTTTTATAATCTTAAATTTTTTTTTCTAATTTTTTTGAATAATCTTGAATCTCATCTTTAAGATTCTTGAACTTTTAGGACTGTTGAAAGTTGCTAGGATTCTCTCTTAAATTTAAGATTCTAATTTTAATATTAATTTGCTGTTGATAAATATCTGTTTCAGTCTGTCCCATAGATCCCGCAGTGACCTGACGATCGACTCGTTGACAGAGAGCCAAATAGGATCAGTGACTGGAAGTGAGAGTGGACTATTAGGCTCCGTCAGCAGCTTAAACGACACTCAGGAAGCTAACGATGATACCGAAACTGAGCATCAAGACGAATATGTTCCGACTCCAGGAAAAATTGTAAGATATAATACAATCCTCTCAATATATATATATATATATATATATATATATATATATATTTTAGTAAATTAAATTAGACTGATAAATAATAACAAAAAAATTAGAGAAGAAATTGATTTAAAAAATATATTTTTTACATTAATTTTTACTAGAGATTTGATCTATATTATATCTTATGAAATAAGATTCTCTTTTTATTAGTAGAAAATATACATTTGTCGATGATTTTCGATTAGATTCGAGAGTTCTATTATTGACCTTCTCAATATATATATTTTTTTCTTTTTTTAAATTAAACTAAATTAGACTGATAAATAATAACAAAAAAAAATTAGAGAAGAAATTGATTAAAAATATAATAAAAATATAAAAATATAAAAAAATATATTTTTTACATTAATTTTTACTAGAGATTTGATCTATATCATATCTTATGAGATAAGATTCTCATTTTATTAATAGAAAATATACGTTTGTCAATGATTTTCGATTGGACTTGAGAGTTCTATTATTGATCTTGATATATCGATTGATCAGGTACTCGTGGAAAATGGTGTGCACTATTTTGAGGACGGCCACTTTTGGATGGAGGTCGCGGGAATTCCGGAATCCGACGAGGATGACGAGGATTATCCATCAGCCGTGCCTGTGAAGAAAACTTCCAAGGTGTCTTTCGACACCGGACCCATGCGCGTTTACTCCACGCACTCGGTCAACGAATACGATCGTCGCAATGAGGACGTTGATCCTGTCGCAGCTAGCGCAGAGTATGAGCTGGAGAAACGTGTCGAGAAGATGGAGGTGAATGAAACAATATTGGCGACTTTTTAAAATCTTTTCATTGCCAGAAAAAAACCAAAATAATAGCAACTGATTTGAAAATCTAAATTCTTAATCTAATTCTCGAGCAATTTTTTAAATATAATATTTTGTCATGATTTGATAAAAAAATTGTTGAGAGTTATCTTGTGCGTTCCCAATGATGATGATGATTTATCCTTGCTCGCAAATATTCCGTGACGATACTTTTTGGCCACTCCAATGAGAGCCTGAGGCATCTTGGAGTACTGAGGGAACCAGCTTTGTAATCAAGCTTTGTTTCTTTATTTTTTTTTTAATTAAACACTTTTATTTAAGAAACTTGCGATACTAATCAAAAATGAAAAAAACACTTAGGTCTTCCCAGTCGAGTTGATGAAAGGCCCGGAGGGTTTGGGTCTCAGCATAATTGGAATGGGCGTGGGCGCGGATGCAGGTTTGGAGAAGCTGGGCATCTTCGTGAAAACTATCACAGACAAAGGTGCGGCCGCGCGCGAGGGACGAATCCAGGTGAACGATCAGATCGTCGAAGTCGACGGTAAGAGCCTAGTTGGCGTGACGCAGGCTTACGCTGCCAGCGTGTTGAGAAACACTTCCGGTCTTGTACGATTCGTCATTGGCAGAGAGAAGGATCCCAAGAATTCAGAAGTAGCGATGCTGATTAGGCAGAGTCTCCAGGCGGACAAGGAAAGAGAGCTGGCAAATGCTGCCAATAGGTAAATATAATCCGTTTAAATACAGGGTAGACCAAAAGTTTGGATACAGTCGAATATCTTTCTTTACACCAATTGATTCCTCTCATTATTTTGTACATAAAAGTATTAAAGTAAGATAATCGAAAAATAAATATTTTACAAAATATTTTACGGTTTATGTAAAATTAAGAAATGATTTCAAGCTTTATAACTCAAAAAGTGCTTGAGGGAAAAATATTTTATTATAGTATTTCCACCCTGTATAATTCATTCACATAAGAGTGAGAAAGAGAGAGGAATCTGTACGAAATAGATCCGATCTTAAAGTGCTGAGAAGAATTATAATTTCTATAGCGATTATAAATTCTACGCGAATTATACTTTAATCAGCCAATTGAAAGAGATCATTAATTACTCTTGTTAAACAGGAAACTCAATTTCTCTGATGCATCCCCCGATGGCCAACGAGGCAGCGAAGATATCTCCATCGGTAGCGGGATCAGTGGAATCCCCGGTTCGCCTGCGATGTCCTCGTGTTCAGAAGGGGAACCAGCTCACAGCCCCATCGAGAATTATCTATCACCATCTAGTCGTAGTCGATCTCCGATACTCGGCTCATCCATGCCACAACACACTGCCACTTCTCAAAGCGACGTAGACAGTCTGAGATTGCTCTTGCAAGAGGTATCTTGTTTGGCACTTTAGCGTTTTATACTTTATGAATCGCAGAAAATATCTTTTTTTTTTTTTATTCAAAAATCTTACAAATTCATTCAGCAAGATGCTTTACTTATATGTATACATGTGTAGTAGTGTTCGTTAGTATTATTTTTTGTAAATAGTTATTATTAATACAGTTTTCAGCAATTGTATTTTCATATAGTGCGTTTTTTTGTATATATTTCTGTGCGTATGTAAGTGAGAAGTTTGTGCGCGCGCGTGTGTATCACATGTGTATGTAAATTTACTGCAATCGCACGGTGTGTATCATTGATTTTCTTTGTTTTTGTTTTGCTATGTGTCTCGTTGGTTGCTTGCAGAGTCAATGTAAACTTGCAATAGCGGACGAGGAAGTTGAAAAGCTCAAAGCAAAGGTAACGTATCATTATGATAGTTATTTAAGTAAAAAAGATAAAGTAATTGTAATTGATCTCTTGATGAGAATCATTCAAGTAATGCTACACATGTAATTGCTTGGGAATTAACAAGGATTCATTGATATAATGTATAGAAAATTAATCTAAATTCTATTTAAAAATCTATCTTTCTCAGAAAAATAGGAGATATATCGATATGATTCGATCCACATGATTGCACTTATGCTTTAGCATGCTTTTTTTTCCTCAAGTCTTGCAAACTTGTTTTGCTTTCATTCTACCTACAACCTCACTGTCAAAAAAATGCATGGAATATTAAATGTATAGTATTTTTAACATAAATTTAGGTACTATTGGTTGAATCTATGAATTTTTATTTTGTGACTGAAGTAATAATATTAATACGCTCATGATACAGATCTTTCATATGGTATATTTGTATGTCTTACAGCAAGCTTTTGAAAAATATATACAAGGTGTTTTAGATCACCCATACCACCATAAGATAATCGAAAAATGAATATTTTACAAGATATTTTATGGCTTATGTAAAATTAAGAAATGATTTCAAACCTCATAACTCGAAAAGTACTTCATGGAAAAATTATTTATTATAGTGTTTTGGAAAGCTCTCGAGGTAAGCTACAAGAATATGAAAAATAGGGGGTTCCATTTAAAAAAATGCACTTCCGGTCTGAATCGCCTATTTCCGGCCGGAACCAGAAGTTGAAAATATCACCATTCGATAGAACGCACCCGATTTATAAAGAAAATGTTTTTACTTTTTTGAAATAACCACTTTAGTTTTTAAATGGGTGGTACGGATAATCTAAAACACCCTGTATGTATGCATCTTCTGCTCTTTTCTCTTCTCAAAGAAGGATTAAGTTTAAATCTATTGTATATATACATATAATATTTATTATATATTTCTGATAATTTTAATTGTATTATAATCTTCGTATAATGTCTTGGACAGCTGGTGGAGTTGGAGAACAGCGGAGCGGGCAGTGAGGAATACGCGGCCAAACTACGGGAATCAGGATTGCGTCTTCACGAGTCGGAAAGAGCGTTAAGTACTGCCCGCCAGGACCTGTCCACGGCCAGGGAGATGTTGTCGCAAGCGACGGCGCAAAACGCAGCGTTGCAGCAAAAATACGCAAGGGCCAGACGAGCCGCCAGAGAGCTGCGAACGGACATTGCGGCCAGGGACGAGTTTTATCAGCAGTTATTGCAGGAGAAAGACACAGAGTACAATGCGTTGGTGAAGAGTCTCAAGGACAGGGTACGTAGAGGGTTGACGAATCAGTTTGGCTTTCACTAAGCCAAGTTAAATGTTTAAAAAAAAATTTCTTTCAGGTGATTACGCTGGAGGTGGAGTTGACGGATACGCAAAGACGATTCGGTCTGCCGGTACGGTTGCCATACGACAATACGACTGCCAGGATAGTGACGCCGCAGCTCTCCCGCCGACAACTACCACCGCCACCTTCGTCGACCAGTTGCCAGCTTTCAGACACGGAGACTTCCGATCTCAGTAGCCCAGACGATGGCGACAAAACCGCGACTGTGGAGAGAAAACTGCCTCTACCAATGCCGGTGAAGGAGGAACTAGATCGCGCCGTACCAGCCCATCGTTTATTAGATAATTCCGCCGGCAAGAGCAAGGCAGAGCTGGCCAGCCGAGGCGGCCTGGCGAATCGTCAGTTGCCCAAACGCTCCGGAGGCCTCAGCAATAGCAGCTCCGTATGTTAATTTTTTGCATTAATCCATGAAAAATCGTATTATGAATTATACATTCTACTCAATATGCCATAAAAAATGGAATACATAATTTTTAAAAATTAAAATACGAAGAGATGACCAACATTAGATTATTGTTATAATCTATAAGCATTAGATTATAGCCATTTTTACTATAATGAAGAGTTGTATATGATTAATGAATAAACGTTGATTTTAGGATTACGGTCTGGATGAATCGGGCGATAATACGGATGATGACTCTTCTTCAAAACTGACCTCGCAGGACAACAGCAGCAGGTCGCCCAATGACTTTACGTGCAAGCAGTCCAATTTGAGTTCTTACTCCAGCACTTCGTCTATCAGTTCGCTCAAAGGCAAATCGCACATGGATCCTATACATGCCACTATGATCCGGCAGCACAGTACTATTAGCTCGCAAGTCAGAGCCATGACCGAACAGAGCTGGCCACAGTCGCAGAAAAGTATGTCAAGTATTGTTTGCTTTAATATGATTTATTATTGAATATTATTATTATTTAACATAATTTATTTTTTCATAGAAAAAAAATACTGGATGCAAGTCTTAATATAGATCCAAAATCGTGATAACAAAAAAAGTTGTTAGATATACTTCACGATAAATTATTTTCTTATATTTTAATTTTGGATGCATCCTGTATACAAATATAGTTTTATTTTATGTTCAATTTTATATCGAAATATTAAACTCTCTAATTTTATATTTCTTCAATACACGTTGAACAAAAAAAAAATGAATTTCTCGATAGCTTTAACTGGACCTCCTGCATCACTGGCGGAACAACTGAAGCAAGTTTTAGCCGAGAGAGAGAAACGTCTTGGCGGAAATGACTCCTCGCGAGAAAGCTCTGGAGACTTCAGTGATCTCAATAATCCTCATAACGATCCAACGATGGTTACGCATCATCTTGTGGAGGAGATACGACAAGCTGTTAACGAGGCTAATCAGAGAGGTAAAAGAAAATAAATTGAGATTTAAATTACAATCAATTACAAAAGTACGATTTTATCATAATTAAATTAATTATTCCTCAGTGAAAAAGGTGTCGATTTCCCAATCAAACTTAATCAGCAGTGCAGGCGCACCTTGGCACCATCCAGGAAGTTCTCCCTCAAGCTTATCTTCGGGTGGTTCCGTGAGTCCTCCCGGTGTTGATCCTAGTCCTTCAAAAGCTGGTAGTCTCGCAGGTATTTTGGATACTTTATATATTAATGTAGTCCCAGCATTTTACTTTATTTCCTCCTAGGAATTAAAATTTTAAAAAGTTTAAATCAAAATTATGGATATTTCTTTAAAAAAATTTAATTTAAAATTAAAGATAAATTTTTCAGTTTCTTTTTTCAGTTTTCTTTTTTAATTTGCTTCTTTTTAAAGCGCTATCAATATAATGCTTTATTCAAATCTATAATCTCGCTTTACTCGCTTAGCAATCTTAACAATGCACGACTTTTTGATTAAAAATATTTTTTTTTCATCAGAATTAATATTTATTTAAAATATTTAACAACAGGATAAAAAATAACAGGACAGTTATTAGAATAAAAGATGCAAATATCAGAGGGATATGGTTAACGATTAATTGGCAATAGCATAATAAGATCTGGCTATATTTTATTTATTTTCCATCATGCATGCATTATCAATATAGATTCGAGCACAGTTTGGTTGCCCGCTCACCTAAGCGACTTTGGTTTAGGTGACAAAAAATCTCACTTCTGGCAGAATGCACCAGTCATGGATTGGTCCAAAGAGCAAGTGAGTATATTTGATTGATTTTCAAAAAAAAGATAATTTGCAATTGAGAAGATTTTCACATGCATACAAATTAAATAAATAAATATAAAAAAAAAACGGATTTTGTGTTGGAAAAATGTTTTATTTTTTTAGCAACTTAATATCATGTCATTTTCTTTCTTTTTTCATCTTTTATTATCATAAAAATGATTACATTTTGCTTTTTTATTTTTAATGTCATACAGTTTCACAAGTATCTTTTTATAGGTTTCCCAGTGGCTTACGGGAATTGGTTTAGAGCACTATTCGTCACAATTTTTGGATAACGGCATCAACGGGAGCAATCTGCTACGTTTAGAATCGAGGGAATTGAAGGCTTTAGGAGTTTACGACGAAGCTAAGACGCATCTGAAGCGTAAACTGAAAGAGTTAAGAGCTCAGGCCGATCGAGAGCGCAAGGAGCGCAAGGAAATCGAGCGAATGCGACGAAAAGCTGAAAAAGCCGCGCGGAAAAAATAGCTCGAGAGCGAAGTATAGACGCATTCAATATCAATTAGAGACGCCCGGTAGGATAATGCGGATTTTCTCGACGCTAGGTGTACAGGGTATCTCGAAAGAGGTCAATAGAGGAATTAATAAAATGATTCATACATATATCTCAGAATTTATTTATTGAAAAATTTTATTTATTGAGAAATATTGGAGATTGAATTTGTTGTAAGAAATTCGAATGAAAAAGCCGTCCATTTGATAGGATGTCATCTAGAAAGTTACATATTCTTGTCATATTTATGAAAGAATTGTATGTAAGCAAGTTTTTCAAATAGTGTGCTTTTCTGACAGTTTTCTCTTTAGTTTAATGTTTCTTAAAATAATTCAAGCAGCATATATTTGACATTAAAATCATTAAATAATTTCTGATAATAAATAAGGTCATAATTATTTCAAATAATTCATAATAGTAATTAAGCGAATAGTATTAATCTTGTAATAAATTAATTTAAAGGAGTAATTTATGCTTAATTATACTATAAATTATTTGAAGTAATTACATAAGAGAATTGTGTATATAATATATACATATATAAGATATATATATGTATATATAATAATTTGTTGTTTTTTAATGTCATTTATTACAGTCTAATTTTAATCAGAAGAATTATTATATTTCAATAATCGGTTTCTGTCAACTTTTGATAATTCTTTTAATTTTAAAAGAATGATTATCAAAATTTTCATTTTAAATATTTTTTAATAAAAATATAATTTTGCGAAAGTACATAATTAGCCGAAATAATTCCTAATACTTGAAATTATTATTACAATTATTACAATTTTCATAATAATTTAAGTTACCTCTCTGGGACACCCGGTACATACTGGCGTTTTTTTTTTTTTTTTTTTTTTTCAAGATTCCGCCTTCGTTCAATTGTAATCTGTTTCCTTAAATGAGGGCTACATATTGAGCCTCTGCATTTACTTGTTATCGCCATACTTATACTTTTGCTAATTAAGTATTTTTTCTCAATTATTAATAGTATTTAAAAGCGAGTGTGTATGTATGTGAATGCGTGTAAAAAAAAACTCTAGCGATTTAATTGAACAGCCGCGTTCTAGCAACACATCTTGCCCTATATCAACGGTTGCTCGATTTTCGCTTTAATGACTGTCGGTTCTTTTATGATGGGTATAAAATTGCGAGCCACTTTTTATATCGCCAGATGGGTTGAGAGCGCGGAAAATGTGTAATAAAAAACGTCGTATTACTTAAATATACTTTTTTGTAATTGTACGTACATATATAGTATACATACTTATACATATATGTTATATATTGCCACGTATATTTAAGCATTGTTCCCATATTTATTTCTACGATAAATATATATATACATATGTATTATATATATATATATATATATATATATATATATATATATATAATTTATAGATACATATATATAAATTTTTTCGCAACTAAGGATCGATCTTTCGAATGAAACATAATTGTTTTCCTCGATTTTATATAAATGCGTCGCGTGCGTCAACGAATTATTAATTAGAAGTTAGTCTCTGATCAATTATGTTGAATTTTATAAATTCCTAAAAATCTTTAATTTTATTTTTTTTATAATTAGCGACTTTAAGCAGATTTTAATTAGAAAAGAAATTACTTTTTGTTGAATAATCATGTATTTTTACTTAACAAATGTTTGGAGAAATAATGGACCATTAATAGATCGTTTTATGCAAGCTTAAGGAATGAAAACACTTAAGAGTACCAAAAGTGGACCCTGTATCCCGCAATATATCAATAATAGTAATAATATATACACACAATCTATAAATATATAAATAGTTATAATAAAAATATTAATATTTTTCAATAATAGTTATATTAAATATTAGGATATTGTTTAATCAATGTCGATCCTTCAATTAAGTGTTAACATTTATATTAAATACGAATTTAAATATTAATAATGTTTTAATATCGAATGATACAGAAAAATACCGATTAAATAATAATATTTATAATATTGTCTGGTAATTTCTCATATTGATATTACGCATACACATTTTTTGCAATTGATAACTTTCTTTTATGATGGATATTTTTTTGTTGCATTTAATCAATTTGATCAAAATCTTCTAAAAAGAAAAAAAAATGAAATTGATCAGAGACAACTTGTATACTTTACAGACTTGTTATAATTATTTTGTAATTAATAAGAGACACCGTTTCTCGTAATTTATATTTATTCGCTCCGAATTTGCTCAAAGTGAGACTTTTACATGTCAGATGTTAACAGATTTTGCATCCTTCTCTCGATCATTTCTCACAGAATCGTCGCATCACTCGCGAAAGACTCAAGGGATAAATCCTTCGTTGTCAAGGTTATCGCTGTAAATTCTGGGACACTCAGTGTCGAACATTCCACGTGAAATCAGAATAGAATAAAGCCAAGTACGTGGCCAGGCTGCTCCCGCGTGAAGGAGAGATCCTGAGCGAGCATAAGGCTGCAATAAGTCGACGCAGAGCTGCGCCGGAGACGAGGACGAGCGTACAGCTGTACGCGTACTTATTTATAGTAGCGTTGAACCCTTGAAATACTCCATTTGAAACATTTCGAAACGCTTCGTAGACCACGAGCGACCGAGAGTGTTGAACATTGGAGTGTAATATGTAAATATTACGTATGTACTGAATACGATTATATGATTAATAACGACGACTGTAACTGATGAGGCGAATTAACGTGTATGTATGCGTGTGTACGATTTGTATGAGTATGCGAAGCGACAAGAAGTGTCATAATGCTAATCTACGAGGCATAATCCTGAATTTTCATCGTCGTAAATCCTTATAGAAGTCCTCCATTGTTGCATCACTCGGCGATTGCAACGCGCACTTGTTGTTTTTGTTGTTATACTCACAACGAACTGCGGGAATGAACTGTCCATGTTTCTTATAAGGATTGTAATGATATGTATATCGCCGTTGGCGAAACGCGTTTCGCCGGCCGGAATAATCCTCCTGCACTTCGGCTATTCATAGTGAAATTTTGCTTTTATTCCCCTCGATACTCGATTAATTGTACACTTATTAAGAATCTGCGGATCTTGAGGATTTCTTAGCGTCTCGTCGGGGGCTATAGATGTTTCGGAATGTTTTCAATTTGATCAAGCCTTTCCCATTTTTCTTTACCTTTGGAAAATTGTATAGAAAATCTATAGTCCCTTCTTACAATCTATATATAGATATATATTTTTTTTTTAAATTCTAGATTGTTCTTATAATTTTATATTCTTGAAACACAAGAGGGGAAGAGAGAAAGAAAAAGTTCTTTGAATTCTCTTCCTTCTCGTGGAATCAAGTTTTGTATTTTTTTTTGTTGTTGTTGTATTGCACATCCTGATAATCTTTGAAATTTTAGATTCTTGTAACTTTAAAAACTTGATCTATTCTCGTGGAATTGCTATTCCTAATCTCTTGGATTTTGAGATTGTTTTCAAATATCCAAATGAGAATGTTTTTAATTAATCAGTTTATTGTCAATCTAATCGTTTATTCTTGATTTATTTGATCGTTCTTCAATTGTTAAATCGAACACCATTTTTGCTCCTTGAGCAAATTCTCAAGCCTGGATTCTCATTTATGTATTTCCATCCCTAAAACTTCTAATCCCTTACTTATTCGTTACATTGAATTATGACGCGAGAAATCATGTGAATTTTTTTTCAAATAAATAAAATAATGATCGAATAAAAAATTATATACGCATCATAATTCAATATAGCTGCAGCGAGGAAACAAAAACCTGGGATGGAGTCCTTACAAAGCCGACTGATTTATCATAAGTTTTGTAGCCAATTTTCAAACAAATCACTTAACCGCATAACTTGGAGAAGCGCCTCATACACGATCCGATCAATCGCGAAAGTCAGCAAAATTCTTTAGAAAAAATCTCACTGTTTCTATCAGACTATGTTGCGATTATATGATTGTCTAGAACAGTTGTAAGATTTTTTAACTTGCGTATTGCTGCAGCGTTAGATACAATATTGTAAATGGCATAACATATATGTTTGATTTTATATTCTATAATATAGATACTTCGAGATATATTAAGAGATAACTTAAAAAAAAATGTTATCGCACATACCTTTGCTGTCGCTTTTGTCGGATCGTGTGTGATTCAAGTCATGTACATGTTTCCATTAATTTGAGATTGTTATGAAAAAAGAGAAAATAAGAGGATGATAAAGATAATGGAAGTACATGCGAAAAACGGCAGCTTTTTAATATGTCTACGAAAAATATTGTCAAGCAAATACTCTTGAACGTTTTAATTAAAAGTAATTCGTACGATACATAAAACCTGATTTTTTTAATTTTTTACTCTTAATATCTATGTGAGGGTGAAAAATTTTAACATTCTTTGCATCAAAATATGTATTCATTAAATTCGTTTTTTACAGAAAAAAAAACGAAGGACATTTGGTTGCTTAGATACATTCGTTTGATCGATATTTTGCATAGCACTGTAGATATAAAGTTTTATGGCAAACACACCAAAAGAGAAGTTGCACTAAGCAAACTATTTGTCAAAATTCAAATTTGAATTATGACAATAATTATCAAGGATTATCAATGGCGTCAGACAGAAAAGAGGATAATAATTTATGTCCCTTTAAGAGGGCATCCTAAAAATGTACATTTATTCGTGATGGACGATTACGTAAAGGTATATTCAAGTCTTTTTTAATTTTCGAAATCATATTTTCAAATTTGCAATAATTGAAAAACTTCATTTCTTTATTTTTTAAAATCAATTTCCACTAAGTTTTAAACAATTAAATATTTTATCGTGCATGTATATATTTTATCTGTATTTAGAATATTTTTAATAAAGCTCCCAAAGAAAATTTTTTTATCAAAATTATGTTTATATAAATAGTACTTTTACTACTATTTTTTTATTTTAAAGTTTTAGTGATTTTTAAAAGCGATGTATGGCATAATTAAAAAACTTCAATGTATCAAAAAATGCTCATGAATCTTGGAAACTGACATATTGAATTTTAATTGAAGATTAGCTTTCCGCCTTTTATTTTGGAATTATTTCTATGGGCAAACGTGCTTGAGGAAGAGAGTGAATGTACTTTGACAAAGACTGAAGCTATCTTTTCTTTGCAAAAAGCGAACATGGCTTCTGACTGGTCAAATCTCGAAGTGAAGGATATTAACGAGGAGCAAAAGCGTGATTTTAGAAAACGAGCTTTGGAAAAAGCACAAGAGGTTTCGGACAATCGTGCGAAATCTAAAAGTGGTAAGGATTGTTAAAAAATGGTATACAAATCCTCACTTTGGAATTATGAATAAAGAGCAAGTAAATAAAATTACAATAAAAAGATTGGCATAAATTATATATACATATGTGTGTAAATTTTTATATGAATCTATTTTTTATTATTTTAAATATATATCTTTATATAAATCTTTTATTTTTTATATATTATTTTAAATATATAATAGATATTGTAACATATATTATTAGATATTTTGTTAAATATTCCCAGATAGCAGAGTGACATTTTAATAAAAATGACATCTTGATAAGATCTTAATAAGATGTTATTTGACGTCAAGATGACGTGTCCAGACGTTTTAATGATGTCATTGTACGTCATTAAGACGTATAATGACGTCATTAAAACGTCTGGAGACGTCATCTTGCTACCTGGGTTAGATATTTATTTTATAAATATACATTATTTATAGATTTATTAATACTTGTGTTATAGAGAGAGATATATATTTATTATTATAATATATAATTCTAATTAATTATTTGCTCTTTTTGGAACCTATTAACAACAGTATTTTGTATTTAAATGTAACATATTTTAATCTTTTAATTTTTTTATGTTAAAGAAACGAAAAATAATATTAAATTAGAAATAATATTTTATTCTTAATAATAATCCATTTATAGAATTAAAAAATATAAAAAAATAATTGTTTCTTAAGTATAAAAATGTTTAATAAGAAATATAGACATTATTTGTCAAGAAATATATCATTGCATTGCAGAAAAACGTCAATATTTGCAAAAAGAAGCAGTGAAAGTGCAAGTAAATGTGGATACCAATCAATTAAATAAAATAGAGACTTTAAGAGATTCTCATCGTAGAGCTGCAATGCAAGATTTTGAAGACTGGCGATCAAGTACAGAACTGCCGATCTTCCAAGATATTTCCGGCAAAGTGCAAGAAAATAGAAAGGCATACAGGTATAAAAAAATATAGAGAGTCATACCAATTAAAGTTTTATCGATTAAAGATTGATACATATTTTGGAAATTGAAAAGGAAAGTGACATTTATTTTTTTTATAAAAATATTTCAATTTTTTTCATTTAATCGAAAAATTTTTTTCGGAAGGCCTCCTCTGAAATGGTTCAAAGATGATCTTGGTGTTCTGCGATATCGGGAAATTGACGAAAAAGAAAAATTAAGAAAAAAACAAGATGAATCAATGATTATAGAAGAATTAATTGTTGAAGAAGATCCAAAGGAAACATTATCGATTGAAGGAAATCTAAAAAAAGAATTAGTTGTTGAAGAAGATACAAAGAAAGAATTAATTATCGAAAAAAAACTGGAGAAGGAATTAATAGTTGAAGAAAACTTGAAGATAGAATCAATTGATGGAGCGAATCTGAAAGAAAAAGATACAGTTCTCGATGAAAATATTCAGAAAGAAGTGAATACTTTAGAGAAAAAGGAGACAATTCCGAATAAGAGTTCCGATCCTCAAGATCGGTTTTCCAGTTGTTCCGAGGATTCCGAGTCGGATTACGAAATGACATCTTCCAAATTTGCAACCAAGTCTTCAATCAAGAAAACGGGCCAGAAATCATCGCAAAAATCCTGCGCACAAATAAGGAAGCAAAAATCAGGCCAGAATTTGATCGATAAAGTGCTGAAAAATCGATATTCCAAAATAAATCGAATATTTGATGAATCTGCAGCAGTTCCACTTCCCAGAACAAGTGGAACCATCAACATAACTTTTTCCGAACGAGCTTTTCCCACTCCAGCCCGGGAAAGTTCTCTTGTTGAGGAGGAGCAAGTATGTGATATATTTTTAATTATATTATAAATTGTATATGAAACTTTTCTTAGCAAAAAGATAATATTTTTTAGTGAAAGATTGATGGAAGTGAATTTTTTTTTAATTATAAAAAAAGAGAATTGGTTGAAAGATAATTTTCCTCTTTTCTTCTTTGGAAGGATTCAATGAGAATTTTTATTCTGCATACATAATTTAATATTATACTTTTAACAATGTACGCAAATGCACATATTTTCAGTGGCTTTCTAAGCAAGCGGAAGCTAGAAGGAAAACTGGATTTGTCGTCGAGGATCTTCGCCCTGAAGAACAGGATCCTCAATGGTTGAAGGATAAGGGCGAGTATGTTAATGGGAATTTAATTATATATTTTTTAATCATTCAATTAATTGTTTTTATGTTTTTTGCAGTGATTTCTTCAAGGCGGGGAATTATCTGGCTGCCATCAGTGCGTACACCCATGGGATTAAAATCAGTAGCGAAATGACGGCGCTCTATGTGAACAGATCGGCTGCGCATTACGCTCTCGGGAATTATTACAGATGTATTGACGATTGTTCTAAGGTGATGGAAATCTTAAATCGATATTTTAGAATATTTTATTTAGAAATATATTTTGAAAGTTTCAAAAAAATTTTTTAAAAGTGTATAAGAATTAAAAAAGAATATGTAAAATAGAAAATAAACCAATAGTTTACAATATAAAATAATTTCAAATTAAAGAAGTATCAAAAGAATAAAAAAAATTTATATATGTGCATATTCATCAATTGATTTTAAATTTTCAACAATATTTATAATTATTTTCTATTCTTGTTTTATTAATAATATTATTAATATATATTAATATTAGTTTTTATTTCTGTTTTATTAATAATATTATTAATATACATTAATATTAGTTTTTAAAAAATTATGAGTATCTTGATGTCGCTAGTCGAATAAAAGGATAAAAAAAAAAAAATGTAGTCGACCAAACTAGCCAGAAATTGAGTTTATTAGTACGACGTTTCGACCATATGGTTGTGGTCCTTATCAAGTATATACGATGTGATAAAAATCAGGAGACCGGCATGGATGATAATCTTGTAAATTGCACAATATATACTTGATAAGGACCACAACTATATGGTCGAAACGTCGTACTAATAAACTCAATTTCTGGCTAGTTTGGTCGACTACATTTTTTTTGATCCTAATATTAGTTTTTATTTCTGTTTTATTAATAATATTATTAGTATATATTATTAGTATATTATTATTAGTATATATTAATATTAGTTTTTTATTTCTGTTTTATTAATAATATCATTAATATATATAATTAATAATATTTATTTATATATATATATATATATATATATATATATATATATATAACACCGAAAAATATAAATGTATAACAGGTATTTTTTGCACTTTCAATTCTCGGTTTTTATATAAGAAATATAGGAAAATATGTAATTTAAAAAAAAAAATTTTTTTAAAAGATTTTTCTTTCTAGGTATTGGAACTGATGGAACCAAAATGTGAGAGTAATAGAGTATCGAGAGCGAGATGTCATGCTCGTCGAGGCGCCGCACTTTGCAAATTGTCTGCACCGCAACACGGAATCCCTGAATTAGAGGCTGCTTTGAAATTGGATCCTAAAAACGAGAGCATTAAACATGATCTTCTTGCTACTAAACAATATTTTAATATAAAGGAATAAAAATAAGGAGGGAGGGATAATTGTATGATTGATTTTGAAAAATTTGCATCATTTATAATTTTGACAATAACCGATGATCATCGAGTTGAATAGTCATCCGAATCAAGGGATAATTAAGATTGCTTTGCGAAAGTTAATGAGAAAGTGAGTCGTCGACATTCATGATGGAATTCATATCGTTTTGGCGGTCATGCATTTCATTGAGTCATCATTAAAATGACTCATAGAATGGGTTTGAAATTTTCACGGAATAAATCAATACATTCTACTGCTAATTTTAATTGAATCGAGTGGCATTAAAGTACGCTATAAATAAATCGAAATATTTTTAAGCCTCTAAAATAGCTACAAAATAGCATTTTAAAATATTGGAATCTTGTGCTGGTAAATAATTTTTATGATTAGAAAGATATGATTAGAAAGATATGATTAGAAAGAGGGGAAAGGAAGTTAAAATTTACAATTAAAAAACTACTAAACTAAAAAAAATAAAATATTAAATATATAGAATTGCAAGTAAAGATTAAGAGTCATTTTTAGTATCACAAGAAAGAAAAAAGAATTAGAGGAATTTGTACAGCGTTCATTGAAACTTTGTAACATGCAATCACGTCGCGTAATTATAAACTGACTCGTGTGTTTTATTTCTGGAACAGAAGTCTGAACAGGAAGGAAATCCCATCTGCAAGAGGAAGATTAGAAGAATATTTACCAACAATATTTAAATGACTACGTTCACTTTAATATCTTTCAGATATTTACACGATTATATGATATTTGTATGAAAGAGATTGCGGTCAAATTAAAAAAATTGACTATTATTTAATATAACGATACATATGTGTTACATAATATGTTATGTATATGTTATGTAATATGATGCAAATGATCTAAAAGTGTTTGCTTCTTACATATGTACATTGGAACGTCCGCTACAGCATGATATGTAAATGACAGAAGGGTGCGTCAGCGAGAAGGAAACCCCATTATAAAAAAAAGGAATCTCGATTCTGCAGGTATTCTCACCTACGTCATAACAGGAAATTCACAAGTATTTGGATGTTTTACATAGAACGTATCTGACGCCGATGAAATCATTTTGCATTCTTTATCCTCATTTAATTCCATGACTAATAAATTGCGTAAAAAAACGTCATGAAATTTTACGCAATTTTTTGAAATAAAATAAATGTATCATTTAGATTAATCAAGAAGAACTATCTTAAAGAGAACTATCTTAAGACTATCTTATCAGAGTGTTGCACTAGTTTTCTAATTGAAGAATATATTCTGCAGATCAACGATCGCGAAATCATGAAAATTGATATTTAAGGCATCTATTTTTTTGTTTCGCTAAACATTTGCGTCATAAATTATCCTACAAATTAATTTATTTTACAATAAAAATAGCTAGTAATAAAATATAATTGCACATATATTCTTCAGATTGTATATTTGTGCAATCATTTTTAAATTACGTAAATTATAGTGTCTCAGTATTGCATCATTTTCTATGAAGTAAATCAATAACTTGGAATCTATTCTCAATTAAGATTTATAACGATAAAAAAATGTCATTTTATTTGACATAGATATTTTCTTAAAAATTAAAATCACAATTATTTTTAATTTATTAAATTTAATTAATTTATTAAACTGAAGAATAAATTTAAAAAATATTCTTTTTTTTAATAATTATAAAATAGACAATTTCTCATGAGTGCATAAATAGTACTCATAAATTTTTGAATTTAAAATGACTGGTATGCGTTGTGAACACGTGGTACACATCTCCGATTAAGAGGCGCCTGTATAATTAAGAATTCCGATCTTGAGCTTTATCATGTACATAATTATAATAGTTAAGCAACAAGATCTAGCGGGAAACTTGACCACAATGAGAGACTACCAAGTATATTGGATTCGCTAAAAATATCATTTATTTCGTCTGAGTCATCTAGCCAGATGTCGATTTCTAAAATAAAAAAAATCAAATGAAAGATATAAGAGGAAAAGGTTCCTTATATATATACTTTATCCGGAAATAAATTCGAACGTTAGGAACCTCGTTAAGGTACAAAATAATTTAATAATTAAAATTTTAGTAATTTTTTAATAATTTTAATAATTTTTTTAAATTATTTCGTAAAAGTACATATGATATATCAGATTGCAATATAATGTATGCCAAGCAATTTGTCTAAATTTATGTAAAATTATACCTATAATTGAAATAAAATGCATATAAGACAACATGTCATAAAAAGTCTCAACAACAAGTCTCTCATGAAGCATTTTAAAGCAGTTTTTTGACGCTTTTCAAGACATCTTAACGTTTCGATCATGCGTTCTCGACATATTCTAATAGACGAAAGCCATGTTGCTGATGATTATTTAATTGCACGTTGATAGTCATCATAGTCGACTTACGCAAAAAAACCTTTGAAATGCAAATGCGTCATGTTCCAATATGCATATCCAGTTTAATTGATACTTGGAAGATAAATGTGATCAATCTCATTGGCTTCTATTCATCCGGAGTGTCAAGACATCTTATCGTTTCAATCATGCATCCTTGATGTACTTTAATAGACGAAAACCAAGTTGTTATTATTGCGATTATTTAATCGCATGATAGTCATCGTAATCGATTTGCCCAAACCTTTGGAATGCAAATGCATCACGTTCCAATGCAGTTTAATTGATACTAAGAAGATAAATCATCTCATTGCGCTCAATTCATCCGTCAAGACATGCGAAATCGTATAATCGAGTCCTGATCTTTCAAAATTATTTTTTTCTCGTAGAATGAATCAACTTATAATTGATCCGAGATCCGAGCACAAACGATTCCAATTCTTAAGATCTATAAATATTGGAAAAGGAAAATTTAGTTAAAATTAAATTAATTATAATAATTAAGGTTAATTAAAACTTACATCTTTCTTACAGAATTTTGTTGTTATTCGCAAGTAAAAATTTATAAATTAAGGAAGTGCAATATCGTCCCAGCAAACATTAAATAACGTTATATAACTGCTATATGACATGTAACAATTATATTGTTGAGTGGGAAATTATAACTAATAGTTATATAAATGTTTCTTGTGTTTGCTGGGGTGCTTATCCTTCTTCAATATCTTCGCTACTTCTTCAGTGTCTTCATAGCAAGACTTCCACCTTTTTTGATGTGAAATTTAAAGAAGCATTTTATTAATTTGATTATTCGTTTTCATTATATCAATAACATCCCAGCAAACAAATAATAGTTATATAACTTTTTAATTATAATTTCCCACTTATCAATATAACTGTTACATGTTATACAGGGTGTTTCAGACCATCCGTACCACCCATTTAAAAATTACAGAAGTGGTTATTTAAAAAAAGTAAAAACATTTTCATTATAAATCGGGTGCGCTCTATCGAATGGTGATATCTTCAACTTCTGGTTCCGGCCGGAAATAGGCGATTCAGATCGGAAGTGCATTTTTTTAAATGGAACTCCCTATTTTTCATTGCATATTCTTGTAGCTTACCTCGAGAGCTTTCCAAAACACTATAATAAATTATTTTTCCATGAAGTACTTTTCGAGTTATGAGGCTTGAAATCATTTTTTAATTTTACATAAACCATAAAATATCTTGTAAAATATTCATTTTTTGATTATCTTACCTTCATACTTTTATGTACAAAATAATGAGAGGAATCAATTGGTGTAAAGAAAACATACAGTTGTTTTTAAGGAAAAATATGGAATTGTTAATTGCAAATTACATATTTTTTGTACAACAACTATGTGTTTTCTTTACACCAATTGATTCCTCTCATTATTTTGTACATAAAAGTATTAAGGTAAGATAATCGAAAAATGAATATTTTACAAGATATTTTATGGCTTATGTAAAATTAAGAAATAATTTCAAGCCTCATAACTCGAAAAGTACTTCATGGAAAAATAATTTATTATAGTGTTTTGGAAAGCTCTCGAGGTAAACTACAAGAATATACAATGAAAAATAGGGGGTTCCATTTAAAAAAATGCACTTTCGGTCTGAATCGCCTATTTCCGGCCGGAACCAGAAGTTGAAAATATCACGATTGGATAGAACGCACCCGATTTATAAAGAAAATATTTTTACTTTTTTTTAAATAACCACTTCTCCAGTTTTTAAATGGGTGGTACGGATGGTCTGAAACACCCTGTATAACTGTTATATATATTATATAACTGTTATGTATTAAATAACAATTATATTGTTGAGTGGGAAATTATAACTAACAATTATATAACTATTAGTTGGTGTTTGCTAGGATTGATGTTATATTGATACTTGACAATTCGATTATCTGCGAGAATTATTATTCCAGATACGAGGGATTAAACAGCGATAGCTGGTCGTGCATTAAGCGGGAACAACGGTTGCACAATAAAGCGGAATCATCGTGAAAGGCAGACACGATCCGGACTTTACGCGTGCTCTCGCGTGAGGCATGCGTGTGCAAGCTCTTCCATATATAAATACACGTATGCCAGTGGGAAAATCTCAGTCGACCGATACTTGGCCTGTAGCTTCTCGCCCATTCATCGAGCTACTTCCGTCCAAAAATTACAGATTTATTTCGGCGCCACGTGAGTCCATCCTCTGCTAGATTCCCAACAAAAAGAAGAGATACTATAAATTCGTTGGGTCGATATACATTTTTCTTGCCTGGAAAAGTTACACAAAGTTCGTGAAGTGAAGAGAAAAAAAATTTTTTCATTGTTAAAAGAAGAGGACAGAGGACAAACTTCTCATGTGTCTTTAGTTTTTCATCCAATGTGTCGCAGCATGAGGCAGTTTTCGAGACAAGCGTTCAGTGGGACTAGACTGTAACTTCAATACAGCCGATCTCTCGCAGCCAGAAAAAATCCTTGGTTCATCTAATCAGTGATCGGGTGCGATTGAACAAAAGTACAGGCTTTGTATTTTCTTCTTATTCGCGCAATTTCTGAAAAAGGTGGAATTTAGTGAAATAATAATGAAGAGCAGATCGATGAAGAGATCGCTTCTAAGACTCCTAATCTTGATCCTGACGACAGTGGATCAGATGATGGTTCTAGCCACTCATCACGGCGGTCACCATCATCGGATGTCGAGGAGAATCCACCTGACGCGCGCGATGGAGGCCACTAAGAGGTTCCTCTGCAGAGAACCCCAATCGAGGGCCTACAATCTGAGGGACTTGGTGCAAAGCATGCATCCAAGCGAGAGCGCCAATCAGCCGGTATACATTGTCCTGAAGAGATGCGATAGTCATTCCGGTTGCTGCGTCAGTCCTGATCTCAGTTGCACGCCGGTGCAATCGTCGATCTATTACGAGGAGATGGAGGTCGAGGTTTGGAGTCTGCTAACGAATAGCACGAGGAGGGCGTGGATTAAAGTCGAGCAGCACGACAAGTGTACCTGTGAGATTAGTAACGCCACTGAAAGACTCAGGACGGACATTCAACCACCTAGCATACAGATCCTTTGAAAAGGGATCTCGTCGAATCCATTCACTCAGTATTATGAAGTAGAATGGAGCGTTCTAACTGCATTGCCCAGTAATTGACTGATCATCTTGCATTTTTCTGTTAGATAATGGTACAAAAAGAACAACATTCAGTGTTAATTGAAACCAGTTAATCAAAACAGAGGCTGGAGTTAAGCTTGATTAGAATTCAATCCTTTTAGTTAGTTGGGAAGAATGAGCTCAGAATGCATCGATATTAATAGTGATCTGCTGATAAAATATTGAACCTCAATAGTGTTATACTGTGAAAAAAATTGATATAGAGTGCTAAACAAATTGATTGATCATAATTGAGACTGAGATAAATTGAAAGGAGCTCCTTAAAGCTTCTTTTATTGATACTCATCTAAACTTAATCTACGTTATCTATGGCTATGATTACGATGATAAGGGACAAGGAACAATAAAGTGAAATTAATTGACATTATGTGGCAGACTTTTGAATACCAAAAAGTTACACAAATTTAAACTATAATTGTAAGAAGGGGAAGATACGGCCGGTGAAGATAAGGCTCCCCTTCCAGGATATTTAATAAATAAATTATAAGTGATTGTGATTTCATATAAGTATGTCATAAGTATTTAAGAAACTATTTAACTCTGAAAGAATTGAACTTCAACTTAGAAGTATTTAAAAGACTATTTAAATGATTGCCAAGAGATAAGAACGAGTCTTTCATTAGGTGAACCTAAGAATTTAATTTAAGATTCTTAAACGATTTAAAAAAAAATTAAATACTTCAATTTTTCAATCTATTGAATGCAATCCTTATACATATATGCACATGAGAGATATCTTACATATATATTTCTTTATTATAGATATTAATAAGATATCTTTTCAATATTAATATCATTTAATATATTGCAAATAATATCATATGTAAAATATTGTTTTTCAGTAGCAATATATATTATATATATTTCGTTCAATCTCCATAGAACACTTATAATAACTTAAGAATACTTTTTATCGACATTGTGATGAAGAGCTCGAATTTATAATATTTATAATAATTTATAATAATTTATGATTAACATATGAAACATTTATGAAAGATCCATGCAAGATAAGGCGCCAGTCTACTCTCCGAGTCCTCTCGCACTCGATTTCGAGTGATATTTATATGAAACTAATAACACTGCGAAACTGACAGTTACGTTTAACGCTAAATATAACTTTGCAATGTATTCGTTAAATTGCTTTTCGCGCATTAGACATAGGGTATATGTTAGTTAAACAAAGTTCAGACGCGGCGAAAATAACGTACTGCGTTTATGTGTAAATAGCTTTATATCTTTCGGATATAGAAAGACTTTTTTTTTAATTATAGGCGATTTTTTACAAGCGATTAACTCGGCGACTATCGTGGTCGACATAAAGAATTTTGTACAATTAATCCAAGAAACAGTATTTTAATATTAATATTAGTTTTAAATTTAACGCAATTTTGATTACTTTTTTTATAAAATAATTAATTTATTAAATAAATTATTTTTCAATTGTAGAATAAATAATGATAGCGAGTTGAGATGTGATAAAAATCAACACGTCAAAAGGATTGAACAGTATTCCTGTAGTATCTAGTTAGCTGCTAAAAATATTACTCAATTATTTAATTTTTATACTAATTAATTTTTAATCAATTAACTTATGCCATGAAAATGTTTATAAAAATAAATCGCAGTTTTGATTATTTTTATATCAATTCATGTAATTTATTTCTCCATATCTTATTTATTTTTTAATTTCTAGCTTCGATGAAAGAATCTTTATAAATTTTTTCGACTTAAAATTAAAAAAAAAAAAAAATAAGTTTAACTGAAAATAAAATTTCTCAGCTAACGTTAATTAATATTTATAATATAATTATTATTTATTATTAATATTTATAATTATAATTAATATTTACAAAAGTTAATATTTATAATTATAATCTTATTATTAGCTACACATATATCGTTCATCTACCTATAACCATCTGCAGAACGGAAATAGTATAACAATGCGAATTCCCGATTTAGCACACAGACGTACGAGCAGAATTGGGTTGATGCCCAATCGAGAGTCGCTATGTTAACGCCGACTCTCTCGGACACCTGTTCCGCAAAGTTAGCGCTCTGTCAAAAAAAAAAAAAAGAAAAAAGAAGAAAAAAAATATCGCTAGCTCGCACACACAATTGAGCGGAAGCACGATTTGAGTATCTGTATAAAAAAAAATATTTCGATAATATATTATCCGAAGAAAAAAATTGATATATATTTTACATGTGTGTCTGCTTAAGTGGAATGGAAATGGATATTTTGGATTTTCAGTATTTTTTTTTTTCAATAAAGAATCCACTCGGAGGAGAAAAATAAAAGAAATATATTTTTTCTTAAATCTATAAAAAAATGTATTATAATTTGTTGCAAGATTTCAAAATAACAAAATTGTAATTAACATCCTTGATCTTTATGAGAAAATTCTTTCGGTTTATCTTCAAATAAGCAATCTACTATGGAAAAAAAATACAGTATACTATAAACATTCCTACATATGATGGTCTGCGTATTAAAAAAAAAGGACATAAAAAGTATTTATTGTACAATAATGAATTAGTCGATTTACTCTTGAGAGTTATCTCTTTACTTACTTAACATATACAATAGATCGACAGTATGTTTATACTGAGAATGTTTAACGAATAAAAGACTTACAAGACATAGAAGACGCTCTGCGATATTACGAGTATCGAGTGTAAGGATATTTCGAACGCATTCGTCGTCCTCGCGTCCCTCGTCCTCGTCCGCCCTCGTTACCGGTTCCTCTAGTGCTGTGTCCTCGCATTACAGATTGTCCTTCAAAAATAAAAATACTATTAATATTTATCCCACTAAAAAAATATTTTAATATTTGTAGTAATTGATTATACAGCTTTTCATTACAAAATCTGTTTCCAACAAGGATAATGCTATATTTTATACACTTACAATTATCATCAAATAATTATAGAATTCATCAGCCACGTGTAAATAGTAAATTAGATGTATTCTTAAGCAAAAAATTAATAAAAAAAGAGAAATAAAGAGAGTAAGAAGAGAAATTCTCTCAAATAGTTATTTATATAAAAAATGAATGCACTGAAAAAAAGAAGTTTAATTTTAATAAATTTAATAATAAATCTTTAATAAATTTAGTAAATTTTTAAATTAATAATTATTTTATTAAAATTAATAATTATTTTATTAGATTAATAAATTTTATCGACAAAAAAATAAACTTAATTCATTTTCTCCATCATTTTCTCACCTCTACCCGATTGATTATCTCCCCACACAATCGGTGTAGGCCTCGCACCTCTCGCTACTCTGAAGGTCGACCTCTGTGATCGTCTCACGGTCATTCCTCTAGTACCGTTGGGATCACTCGCGGTTGCCAGACTAGCTGCCATTGTCCTTTGACGAGTGTTACTGGATGGTGAAGCTTCTGCCTCGCGACTCTCTTCTTCGACTTCATCTTCGACAAGGTCGCTTCCCGCTTCTTCCGTTACTTCCACCGTATCCACGGTATCGTCCTCGCCGGATGCTAAGGTCATCGGTTCTTCCGGTCGCTTTTCACCCTCTGAACTCACTCCTATGAATAAAAAAGACAAAAGAAAAGCGTCAATTAATGCGGATATAATGCATAAGTCGTTATTATTAGAAATCAATGAATAATATAACGCAGCAGGAGAAAGTGAGAAGAGATAACCGTAGCTCTTTGTTCAGTGGCACATCAGCATGGCCAATTTTATTCATCTGATCTCTAATAATTTATTTTAATGATCGATATTTGTTTCTTGAAATAAATGTTTCAATGAATTCAATTGGATCTGACAAAGATACCTTCACTTGGAGTTGCGCTAGATTCTGTGGCTTCAGTAGAACCACGTTGCTGATCATCGGCGCCAACAATGCGAATATTAGGAATACCAGGTTCCTCAACATTATCACCAGAAGTGGCTGTTACGGAAACGGGTGTTACAGACGCGGTTTCTTGTTCCTCGGATTGGCCACTACTAGTCTATTTACGAAAGAAATTAAACAAAGGTATTATAATTAAAGGTATTAATTAAAGGTATAATTAAATAAAGGTATTAATCATTAATAGCATCACTATTTTATTTTGTAGAAAAATTATAATAAAAATTTTCTTCTACCGAGGGTGGCAAATCCGCAGCTGGAGAGACCTGAAGAGGAGTTGTAGGAACGCTGCGACCAGTTCCACCGTCCTCTAGCTGCGTCAAATCTATCCTACTATCGTCCATGCTTTCTTGAACAACTTGAGCCACTGTAGAACTGGAAGAACCAAATATAGTTCTAGTGATAGAGCCTGTGGGTGTTGTTAGCGACGGTGTTGATGAGGCTGTCGTAGGCGCCGAATGATCGCCGAAGGTGAAACGTGCTTGAGGCACTTGTGGAGAGCTCACAGCTTCGCCAAAGCCATCGCGACGAGGAACGAAGAGAGTTGGTGTGCTAGGGACGATACAATCATCGCCGCCGTCTTCATAACCTGGTTGTGGCTTTTAAAAAAAGAAAAAACGACAATCTAAGATGCGTATGTAAAGAATAAATTTTACTATAAATTTAAAAAAATTTCAATTTCAAATAAAAACAAATTTAAATATCTTGATTATCTACCAGAAGAAGATGTTGCTGTTGCTGCTGTCTCGGCATAGGCGCGATTCCTCTAGCTCTGGTCGTGAAGGACGTCGGTGGCTCTCCAGTCGGACCAGCGCTGCTAATAGCTTCAGATTGTTGCTGATTAGTAGGAATAGATGCTTGACCTTGTCTAGGAACTTCGGGAGTGGAATCCTCCTCCATGATAATTTCCACCTCATTATTATCCCGTTCTGCCTCAACTTCAACCTCATAAGGCATCTCTTCTTCCTCGTCCATTTCCTCGTATGGCTCGAATTCCTCTTCTTCTTGAGCCTGATGGTTGCCTCCACCTTCACCTTCATCGCAGTCTACTACTACTACACAGCCTTCTTCCACTTCTTCATCTTGATCCCTCTGGCTTGACGTAGGTACCTAACAATTATATTAATATTAATATTATATTAATATAATATAATATTATAATATTAATAATTACAATATTATAATAATATTATAATAAATAATATTATAATAATATTATAATAAATAATATTATAATAAAATTAATATAATATTATAATATTAATATATATATATATATATATATATATATATATATTATATATATTAATATTATTAATATTATATATATATATATATTATTAATATATATTAATATTATATTAATATTAAAACATTATTGTAAACAATTGCAAATGCATGAATAAATCTTTTAGGTTCCTATTGCACTATTGCTACCTGATATTCCACTTCCGAAGCACTAGCACTCGCAGTCGCGTCCTGTCTACTCCTCTTGGTCTTTGGACTCTGCACTTGCTCCTGACGTCCATGGTCCACTTCTTCGGCTATTCCGGACCCAGAGGCAGTGGAATCCAAGGCCCGGGGTCTCTTTAGTCCCGAGGAAGCTTGGGACGTGCTAACCGACTGCGTGGAGCTACTCGCTACGGTTTGTTGTTGATCGCTGATAGCAACTTGCTGCTGCTGCTGCTGTTGCTGCTCCACTCTGGGGCTCACCAGTGCTACCGTTTGCTGCTGCTGCTGTTGCTGGCATTGTTGCTGCTGCGGCTGCATGTTAAGTGTCTCCGCACTTTCCGGGTCTTCTCTCTGGGTAGATTCGGCGGATTCACTTAATTGCGGTTGCACCACCAACTGACGAAGACTACTGCTGGTTTGCGCGCTTTGCGAAGAACTGCTGGTACTTGCCGGCTGGAAGTCGGTTAGACTACTAGTCGGCGAGCTTGTTTCCGTGGTGTGCACCACTTGCTGCTGCTGATGCGGCGCAACCATGACTGGCGCGCTAGCGGTGGTTGGCAACACAGCCGCCGTTCTCGATTGCACGACGCTCATCGGTCTGATACTCGCTAAAGGCGTCTCCGCCCTCGCTGACATCGGCTTAATGTTCGCCGTGGGCGGCTCTGTAGTTGCACTCACCCCGCTTATTCCCGACAGCTGTCTCTGCAACTGAGCAACTCTCTGCAACAGAGCCTCCTTCTCCGCCTGGACCTCCAATTTTTCATGCTCCAGTCTGGAGATGCGGCCTTCCATCTGCGATTTTAACGCCACTAATCGCGCGTCGTGTTCAGTATCGGAATGATCCCCTTGAACCCCCGCGCTGCTTCCTCCGGATTCCATCCTGGATCTTAAGTCTAACAATTCTTTTTCGCAAATCTTCTTCGACTCGGTCAGCTGCATAATCTTGGTCCTAGCACCTTTGAGAACTTGCTTCGCTCTCTCTTCCTTTTCCACGCTGCTGCGATTTATAGCGTCGATCTCTTTTCTCAAGTTGTCGGCCTCGTTTTGAACCGTCGTCACTTGGCGAGTTAGCTCGTCTATCTTTGTTACAAGCTCGGCATTCGCCTGACGGAACTCCTGACGACCCTCTTCTCTCAGCTGATCCTCGCGATCTTGCACAGCCGCGCTGGAAGTATCCTCATTCCTGGCTTCCTCATTGCGGTTCTTTTCTTCTTCCACGGTTCTCGCAAGTTCCTCGAATTGCGTCTTGTATTTCTTAGCTATTTTGCGGATCTGAATCTCTTTATTCCTGATATCGTTAAGAACTACTTCCTTGTCGCCTAATTCTTTTCTGAGGAAAACTAAGTCTTTCGTCTTCGAGGTAGAGTCGGCTAGGGCCTCGTTGAGATCTTGCCCCAGTTTGCGAGCCTCTTCAGATGTCCGTGATATTTGTTCATCCTGCGCTTGCATCTGTTTCTGCAACTCCGTTATTTGTTCCTCGAGTTTTACCTTGTCCGCTTTCACTTGATTAAATTCCTCACTTCTCTTGGCATGAATCTCCCTTTCTGACGTCAACAGTTTACTTAAGTTCTCTCTTTCGGTTTGAAGCCGCCGCCAATCTTCAGGACTAGCTTTATTCGCCTTTTCTAATAATGTGTTTGCTCTCTGCCTCCATCTAGTCGCCTCGCCCTTCAAACTGTTATTCTCTTCCATTAAAGCTTCAGTTTTGGCTGTCAAGTTTCTGGATATATCTCGAAGAGGCACTACTTCTTCCGATAGAGAGTTTACTTTGGCTGAAAGTTCATTAACTTTTGCACTTAAATGATCTCGTTCTTCTCTGAGGATTCGGTTGGAATCTGTAATGGCGTTCAAGGTTTCCACCTTGCGCAGCAATTCCGCATGCTTGGATGTAGTCATCACACTAATTTCGGATTTTTCTCGTTCGGAATTTAACAAGAGCTCAGTTTCTTTCAGTCGCTTCTCGGCTACTTCGGTCTGCGATTTCAATCTAAGATTTTCCGCTCTAAGAACATCAGATTTAGCTAAAGCCAAGTCTTTCTCTCTTCTTAAATACTTCATGACTCTCAACAATTGTTCAACTGATTTGGAATCTTCCTCTAAAGAACTGAAACTCTTATTCAGAGCTTCGAAACTAGTATCAGGACTATCCCCTCCACTTATCTTGGTCTGCTGACTCTGCATGACGGCAACTCGGTCGCCCAATTCTTGAATTTGATTATGCAGCAGCGCGTTTTGCGCATCTAGATCTACAAGCCTCTTTTGTGTTTCCTCAATCTCGTTCACAAACTTTTGCTCTCTTTCTTTAGAAGCTAATTTTTCAATTTCCAAAGTTTCCACCGCTGCATTTCGTTCTTGAGTTAAAATGTTAAGCTTCTGCTGAACTTGCTGGGCCTCTTCTTTCAGCTTGGCCAAAATCTAAAGAGACAATTATGTAAATTAATAATTGCAAAATTTGTATACATCAATTTATATTTCTTTTTATCGCTAGACTTACCTGTAAATCGGACGAATGCTGCATCATCTCCCTAGCATACTTATCTTCTGCTTCTTTAACTGTGCTAGAAACGGATTTTAGATCGTTCTTCAACAACTCTAATTCACCTTTCAACTCATCCAGTTCTTCGACTTTTCTCTCGGCTTCCGCCAGTCTATCTCTCAATTCTGAATTAGTTTCTTGCCTGCCATTCGATATTTTCGCCAATTCATCATTTAGTTCCTTCACCTTCTTCTGCAGTGAAATAATTTCCACGCGTGATTCTTTTAAAGCAGTCTCCAATTCCTCTTTACACTTGTTATACTCGGCCGTTAATTCTCTCAGCTGCGTTTCAGCGCTCTCCGCTATGTCACAGTATTGTTGATTCTGCTGTCTGGCCATTTTCAGCTGTTCAGAGAGTGACTTTGTCTCAGTCTGATAGGTATCTAGTTGCATTTCTAGTTCTTTAACCCGTTTTACGAGACTTTCATCCCCTGTCAAGGGTTTAGCGATGGAATGGGCGGCAGCTTGCCTCAATTTGTTGCTTAATTCATCAATTTTTTGACTGCTTTGGGTCTCAGATTCTCTTGTTTGATCCAGTTCAGTTTGGATTCTTTCATTCAATTCGCGTTCTTCCTTTAATCTGTCCTGTGCAGTCGCAAATTGTCTCTCCAAATGACCTGCTAATTCTCTGAAGCGATCCTGCTCTTCCTGAAGACGACGCCGAAGAGCAGCGCATTCTCTATTGGCATCGTCAAATCTCTGTTCAGCTCTAAGGTGTCCTTCAGCTTGAACTCGCTCCAGACTGGCTTTGATAGATTCCATATCTGCTCTGAGCAAAACTTGCGTCTGTCTTTCTCTCTGATAGACTTCTCGCTCCTTTAAGAGACGTCCTTCAGAGTCCTTCAAGAGTTGGCGTTCTTGACGAAGGTTCTCTAGTTGCACTTCAGCTCGAGCTAAGCGAGTCTGAGCGGCAAGCGTCTCGTCCTTTAAAATCATTAAACTTTGCTCGTGTTTACCAATGGTGATGTTGTAATTAGTGCATTTTTCTTCGAGGGCCTTGATCTGGGATTTATAAGAAGCAACGTTGCCCTGCAGCAATGTAAATCTCTCATTCGCTGAATCTAATTGTGCTCTCAATCTACAACATCTCGCTGAATTTGCCTCTGCTTCTTTCCTAAGTCTCTCTACTTCCTCACTCAACATCTTTTCATGCGCAGTCCGCTCTTTTCGATATATCTCGTACTCATCTGAAATATGTTTAAGCTTGTCTTCGGTCTCTTTTAACTTTTTGGACCACTCTTCCTTTTCTTCATTACCCTTCGTCTTCGGCTCTTCGTCCGATTTATGCTCTTCGACATCTTTCTCAGTTTCCTTTTTCTCATTGTTTTTCAGTATTTGTTGATACATGATCTTATATGTGTCTCTCTGTTTTAAGAGACCATCCATCATCTTTGAATGCCTGTCTTGCGCAGCTTGCATATCTGCTAGTTGTTCCATGTAACGATCTAGTTTCTCTTTCATCTCGCCCGAATTTATCTGATCGGTAGCCCGTTCAATCTCTTCTTGCCTAGATGACAATGCACGAACAACTGCTAAAAGCTTCTGATTATTTTCTTGCAGTTCCTCAATATCCTTGAAAGTCACTAGCTTCTTGCTAATAATTTGTGATGATAAGATATCATCTGTATCCATGGAAGATGACAAGTCTCTATTTTCTACGCGCGTACCGGTGCGGCTTTCTTGAACCTCTTTGAGAAGGTAACATACCTGCAGAAAGGCATTAAATAATGATATAAAATGAAATGAAATGAATCAATTAAATTTATAAAATTTTTTAAATCTTCTTTAATATCCTTATTTAATAAAATATGCAAAAAAAAAGTATAAAATTATATAACTCACTTGTCTGGCCAAGTCAGCAAGTTCAGTTTTTAATTTCTGATTTTCTGTAGTGTGATGTTTGGCGAGACGGTTAGCTTCATCGGAACTTTCATGAAGACGTTGATTCTCTGCAAGAAGTTCGTCCAATCTAGAAGTTAGTGTTGCTATATTTGACATGGCTGTTTCATAATCTTGACGCTGTTGTTGCAATACTGGTGCTTTCTGCTCTAATTCGCGAAGGATCAGATCCATTTGTGACTTTAATCGTTCGTTTTCTTCTCGTTCCAAGATCAATTCATTAGAAGCTTCAACCAATTGAGTGTAGATCTGCGTCAGACTTAGACCCTTTCGTAACACTCGACTTGTTATTGCCGCTGTAGGTGCCAATTGTTCTACAGCTTGGTCTAATTTCTCTGTGGAATCGAAAAAGCTTATATAAATATTATTATATAATAAGAAGATATCTAACTTTAAGATATAAAGTCTAAGTATAATTAAAGGGTACCTGATAAAGATAAATCAGCAGTAATTATATGTATATAATAATATTATATATATATTATAATATTAATTATATAATATTATATAATATTATATAATTAATATAATATTATAATATTATAATAATATTGATATGAGAATAAGAAGATGTGTAATTTACCTTGCTGGATATTCTTTAACAATTCATTAGCATGTTCCAATTCCTTTGTCAGAGCCTGAATACTCTGTTCTTTCTCATCAATATCTTGCTTATGCTGAAGCATTAATTGATTATACTTTGTTTCCAGGGTTCCATACTCCTCTGCAGTGCTGTCTACAAGTTTCTGTAATTCGCTTGCTGCATTGGAGATTGCCTCAGCCTTTGCATTAGCGTCATCCTTCATAGATTCATACAAACTAGCTAGATTCTTCTGTGCATTGATTTCTTTCTGGTAAGAATCATTTATAGCGATTTCGTGGGCACGCTGCTGTTCCAATTTCTGTGCCAGTTCATCATTTTGTTTTTGAAGAGAAGAAACTGATTCTCGCAATTGAGAATTGGCTTCATTAGCTATTCGTAGCTCTTCCTCACGCTGAGAAAGTTTGGTGTCAATTAAGAGGGCTCTGCTAGAAGCTTCGGATCTTGCTGTTTGCAATTCAGAGGTCCTTTTAGCTAGTTCTTCTTCGAGACTTGCCATTTGCTGGGAGAGCAGCACTCGTTCTTGCTCCAGTCGTTTCTCTCTATGTACATCATAAATTTAGTTAGTATTACATGTTTTTGAATTTCTACATGTATAAAAGACATATTTCTACATGTATAAAAGACATATTTCTACATGTATAAAAGACAAAAGAGATATTTTCTTTTAACTAACTTACTTAAAATCTAAAGTCATTTCTCGACTACGAATTTCCTCTGTATCACTCAGAGTTTGGCACTTGACTGCAATAGCATTTTGAAGCTGAGAGCTCAAAGAAGACAATTCAATACGCATCCTCTCGACTTCAGTGTCCCGCCTCTCAACTTGCAGTTGTAAGGCATTTGTCTCATCTGTAACTGTATCTCTCTGCCTCCGTAACTCGCCATTTTCCTTCTCAAATCTGTAATTTACATCAAATAAATAATATATATGACAAGAGTATTAAATATTAATAAAATTACATCAAGAAACAGCACAAAAAGTCATCCTATGTACATATAAATATATTACTTCATTATTTATATTATTATATTTTACTTTTTAATATAAATATTTTAATTAATTTTTTTAATGAAGTAATATATTTATTAATAAATATATATAAATATAATAAATATAAATATAATATATATAAAATAAATATATTTATATATATTTATATTAATATATATTATAGTAATATATTTATTTTAATGAAGTATTATATTTTACTTTTTAATATAATTAATATTTTAATTAATTTTTTTAATAAAGTAATATATTTTTGGCTTTGTGCTGCTTTAATTTTTAATATATTTTTAATGTAATCTTTAATATTTATATATTTTAAAATACACTTATATATATTATTACCGTTTTACAGACTCTTGTAATCTATGCACTTCATTCTTCACTTCCTCAAGATTGTTACATATCTCTGTATTATTCTGTTCAGCTAACTCCAATTTTCCCTTATATTCATCGAGCTCCAATTTATGCTCCGAGAGTTCCTTCTGCGTCTTCTCCAAAACTTGTTCTGTAAATCGATATACAATTATAGTTTATTTACAAAAGAATATTTAATTCTACTCGATTTTATCTTATAATATACTTCTTATATTTAAGATTAAAGTCTATATCGAAATTCATAGTAAAAATACAGGTATATCAATTGGATTCAAATACTACCAGCAAAAAGTGCAAGATAATTCTTCAAGATAATGTAAATAGAACAAGTGTCAGTACACAACATACATACACATACATATACATATATAGAGGTATTCATTCGAATACGAGTTCCATGACCGGCGTTCCAGCTTACCTAGAGTCATCCGGCAGGTCTCGACGACCGCCTTGGCAGTTATAAATTCGTCGAACTTGCTAGTAAAATGCGCATGAATCTTCCTCGCGAGCTCCCTCGGGATCTTCGCCAGCTCCTCATCACTAGCTATTTCCCGAAGAATGTTCGGCTGCTCGCCCTCCTCGACCGCTTCCATGTCGGTCGGCGGGGTGTCAAATGATTTATTTTATTTTACCGAGATTGAATCAACGTCGTCCAAATTTACAATCGCAGCAACGTTCTCGGATTCCGTGCGGGTTAAGTCGTCCAAGTTATCCTCGGCGAAAACAACATTTGCGCCTTCGCCCTCGACCTACCGCGTTTTTTCGCGAACAAACCGTTTTGCCGCTCGCAATGCTTTTATCACGTAAGCCAGCATGAACCAAGTGATGAATCTCGAGTGTCGAGAAAGGAATAGCCAATCACGTACGTCTAGTGGACGGAGGGAAGACGCCATTGGCCGCGTCAACAGAGGAAGCTGTTGCGTCATGATACCGAACGCTGATTTGCTGGATCGAAAAGCAGGAACCAATAACGTTCGAGTGTTTTTATTTCTAGTCACGTGGTATCTTGACGCTGAAAATGAACGTTGGACATGAAAAGGTGCCTTAATTGATATGTTTATACAGGATATTTCAGACCACCCGTACCACCTATTTAAAAACTAGAGAAGTGGTTATTAGAAAAAAGTAAAAACATTTTCTTTATAAATTTCTTTATATATCTTTATAAAGAAAATGTGTTTATTTTTTTTAAATAACCACTTCTCTAGTTTTTAAATGGGTGGTACGGGTGATCTGAAACACCCTGTATATCTTTATATTGATTATAGGTCTCTTTATATGCAAATATAGTATTTAAGTAAATATTTCCTGAACCAGCAGTCATGATTATAAGTAACTAGACGCGATGCATCTAGTTAATATTTGATTTAGAAGAGGCAAAGTTTAAGCGAGAAGGCATTATAATCCCAGCAAATACCAAATAACGTAATAATAATAATAAATAATGTAATAGTTACATAACATGTAACAGTTATATTATTGAGTGAGAAATTACAACTAACAGTTATATAAATATTACTTGATGTTTGCTGGGATGATATTTCCCATACAGAATATAGCAGCAATATTATTAATATTGTAGCAATATTGCAATATTGCCGCAAATTACTCGCAATATTACCGCAATATTCTGTATCGGTTGCTACAAAAAATGCTGTCATAGATTTCTATCATATATTCACTATGTCCTTCATTTGATATTCAATAAAAATGTTTATTTCTTAAGACTAAAAATCGTGGTTAAAACAAAGAAATTATTGCCTTTTCGAACGCAATCCCAGAGAAATAATGACATTATTTCTTTTTCAATATAATTAGATTAGACAGTTTCTGTAAAAATTAATTAATCAAAAAAGAAGAGGAAATACAAGATGGGCGGAGAATTTTTAAAATCTCCATAAATTCATCTATTTGACAGCCAATCGTGCCATACTGTATATACATCTCGTGCTGAAGAATTGGCTATATATATCACACCGATGGAAAAATTCCACGATCAAAGAGCAACGCTCCCTGCGCCGTCCATTCCACCGTCCATTCCACCGCCCATTCTACCGCCCATTCCACTTGATCGATTGATCGCGACGACTGCGCGTGCGCGGCGAACCGACCGTCCGCGGGGCTAGCGCGCATGCGCGGCCCGCGGCCCGGCCTGCCGCGCACGCGCGGACGCGCGGGTCGATGATGCCGCGTCGCATGTGGAAGCGGAAACGCGGCGCTGATGATGATCAGTCGGCCGCTTCCGTCCCGCCGGAGTCTGTCAGTCCGTTAGCAGCTCCGTTCGCCGGCTCCTGTGGGTTGAGTCCTGTGGATTTGCTGTACCGAGAGGCGAGTATCGTCGCTCGCGCGACAGCATCCCAAGTTGCACCAGAGGACCAGAGTCGCTACGTCCCTCGGCGTTCACGACAACAGCCGTACAAACTTGACGCGTCATCCTCGGGCGCCCTTTGCGAAGCATCATTATCCCTCTCTCCATCTGTCTACCGTCGATAAACGTCATTAGATCCCGAATCGGACCGATAGATAGCAAGGATGTACAACGGATTCCCGCAAACGCACGGCAGGTACGTCCTTGAGGACACTCGAGATCAGCTCCAGTAATCGAGGGGCGTCGAGATCTCACCTTTTTTTTCACGATGGCTGTCTCGGATCCTTCAATGGCCCATCGGCCGCCATTTCGCGCTGCGAGCTTTCGGCCGCGCGCTCCATTTTCTATTCGCTCCATGAAGATGAAAAATTAAATCCAACGGATTTCAAAGCATCTAGTGTCCGGCGGATTTTTTTTATCTATTTGTTGCCGCGATAAATTGGCCGCGCCGAAAAAAATATACAGCCATAAATATTGTTTAGTAAGTATAAATTGATTTTTTTTTCCATTTTTTTTTTAATATGTTCAAATTTAAAAGAAATGGATGTGTGTGTGTGTGTACGTAATGGATATATATGTACGTATCTATTTTTTTTTATTTAATATATGTGTATATATACATATACATATATACATATATACTCCTGACAAAATTAACGCAGTTTTTTTTTCTTTAAAAGCTGATATTTAAGTTTTAACGAAAAATTTTAAAGAAAAGGTGGAAAAAAATTATATATATATATATATATATATATATATATATATATATATATATATGGGGAAGAGACTGTCCTGACGCCCTATATATATATATATATATATATATATATATATATATATATATATATATAGGGTGTCAGGACAGTCTCTTCCCCAAAAAAAGCTTGTAGCTTATCTCAAGAGCTCTTCAAAACATTATAATAAAGTATTTTTTCATCCAGTACTTTTCGAGTTATAAGGCTTGAAATAATCTCTTAATATACATAAATCATAAAATATCTAGTAAAATATTTACTTTTCGATTATCTTAATACTTTTATGTACAAAATAATGAGAAGAATCAATTGGTGTAAAGAAAACACACAATTGTCTCGAAAAAAAATATGTAATTTGCAATTAACAATTATATATTTTTTTTTCGAAACAATTGTGTGTTTTCTTTACACCAATTAATTCTTCTCATTATTTTGTACATAAAAGTATTAAGTTAAGATAATCGAAAAATGAATATTTTACAAGATATTTTATGGTTTATGTAAAATTAAAAAATGATTTCAAGCTTCCTAACTCGAAAAGTACTTCATGAAAAAATAATTTATTATAGTGTTTCGGAAAGTTCTCGAGATAAGCTACAAGAGCTTTTTTCAGAAGAGATTGCGCTGACACCCTGTATATGCATAGTAATTTGATATAAGTGACAAAAGGACTTGAGATTGAATCGATCAAGGATCTCCTTTATGTTTGCATTTTTTCTTGCTTCTTTTTTATTCAGAAATGTATAAGTTTTCAATTAGTTTTAGGGCCAGAGGAAATCGAGACCATACCGCTACTCGCAATGGAGGAAATGGCGGAACTTATTGGAATAGTCAGCAGCAGAGCCAGCAACTTAAAAAGGAATTTGGAGTGAAGAAACAGAATAGGAAGACTCCAGGCGATTTGTTGAAGAAACCCAGCTGGGATCTGGCCAAATTGCCCACAATAACGAAGAATTTATATGTTCCCCATATGAATGTTCTCAACAGAACAAATGACGAGATCACCATGTATCACGCTGGCAAGGAGATCACCGTTAAGGGCAATAATACACCCTCTCCGATCCAGGCTTTTGAAGAGAGCAACTTCCCAGACTATGTAATGGAGGAAATCAAGAAGCAAGGATTTGCCGAACCAACTGCAATTCAAGCTCAGGGCTGGCCAATTGCACTTAGTGGACGAGATCTTGTTGGGATTGCACAAACTGGTTCTGGGAAGACCTTGGCAGTGAGTATAATATATATATATCAATTGAGTAAGTATCAAATTGAAAAAAAAATTTGATAAATATACAGGGTGTTTCACCCGTACCACATTTAAAAACTAGAGAAGTGGTTATTTCAAAAAAGTAAAAACATTTTCTTTATAAATCGGGTTCGCTCTATCGAATGGTGATATTTTCAACTTATGGTTCCGGCCGGAAATAGGGGATTCAGATCGGAAGTGCATTTTTTTAAATAGAACCCCCTATTTTTCATTGCATATTCTTGTAGTTTACCTCGAGAGCTTTCCAAAACATTATAATAAATTATTTTTCCATGAAGTACTTTTCGAGTTATCAGGCTTGAAATCATTTCTTAATTTTATATGAACCATAAAATATCTTGTAAAATATTCATTTTACGATTATCTTACCTTAATACTTTTATGTACAAAATAATGAGAGGAATCAATTGGTGTAAAGAAAACATACAGTTGTTTTTAAGAAAAAATATGGAATTGTTAATTGCAAATTACATATTTTTTCTTAGAAACAACTATGTGTTTTCTTTACATCAATTGATTCCTCTCATTATTTTGTACATAAAAGTATTAAGGTAAGATAATCGAAAAATGAATATTTTACAAGATATTTTATGGCTTATGTAAAATTAAGAAATAATTTCAAATCTCATAACTCGAAAAGTATTTCATGGAAAAATAATTTATTATAGTGTTTTGGAAAGCTCTTGAGGTAAGCTACAAGAATATGCAATGAAAAATAGGGGGTTCCATTTAAAAAAGTGCACTTCCGGTCTGAATCGCCTATTTCCGGTCGGAAGCAGAAGTTGAAAATATCACGATTGGATAGAACGCACCCGATTTATAAAGAAAATGTTTTTACTTTTTTTTAAATAACCACTTCTCTAGTTTTTAAATGGGTGGTACGGGTAGTCTGAAACACCTTGTATATATAGTTTTTAATATAAATTTTACATAAAACATTATTTATTTCAGTATATCCTTCCGGCGACAGTGCATATCAATCATCAGCCCCGCCTGAATCGCGGAGATGGCCCAATCGTTCTGATTCTCGCTCCCACACGCGAGTTGGCCCAACAAATTCAGACGGTAGCGCGCGATTTCGGCTCGTCATCGTGCATTCGTAATACCTGCATTTTTGGCGGTTCGCCAAAGGGACCTCAAGCTCGCGATCTTGAACGCGGGGTGGAGATTTGCATCGCGACGCCTGGCAGGTTGATCGATTTCCTGGAAAAGGGCACCACCAATCTACGTAGATGCACGTACCTGGTATTGGACGAGGCCGATCGAATGCTGGACATGGGCTTTGAACCGCAGATCCGCAAAATTATCGAACAGATCAGGCCAGATCGGCAGGTGCTCATGTGGTCTGCCACTTGGCCCAAAGAGGTGCAAGCTCTCGCCGAGGACTTTCTCACCGATTACATCCAAATCAATATCGGCTCTTTGAGTTTGGCAGCCAATCACAACATCCGGCAGATCATCGAGATTTGTCAGGAACACGAGAAAGAGTACAAACTGTCGCAATTGTTGCGCGAAATTGGGACCGAACGCGGTAGCAAGATGATCATTTTCGTGGAGACGAAGAAGAAGGTGGACGATATCACCAAGACGATCAAACGCGACGGCTGGTCGGCCATCTCGATTCATGGCGACAAATCGCAGCCGGAGCGCGATTACGTTTTGTCAGAATTTCGCAATGGGAAAACTATGATTCTTGTCGCGACCGACGTAGCGGCCCGCGGCTTGGACGTCGAGGACGTCAAGTACGTCATCAACTTTGATTATCCCAACAGCTCCGAGGACTACATCCACAGGATCGGCAGAACTGGTCGCTGCCAGAGCGCCGGCACCGCCTACGCTTATTTCACGCCGAATAACGCGAGACAGGCGAAGGAATTGATCGCGGTGTTGGAAGAAGCCGGTCAAACCATAAATCCGCAATTAGCGGACATTGCAAATTCCATGAGGAACCAATACGGCAAGGGACGACAGCGATGGAGCCATGGACGCGTCAATAAAGATAACAATGGCAGTCCTAGGAACAATATCAGCCCGACGATAAATAACTGGCAGAATCAGCATATTCCCCAGACCACCCAGCAAAATCAGGTGGCGCAGGAGAAAATGGTGGCGCGTCATCAGCGTAACGGCGGTTACCAGGCCAATCGCCAGAGCAACTATCAACTACCGCAGCACAACAATTATCAGCAGCAGCAACGCCAATCCACTAATGGCTATCAGAATGGTTACCAGCCGACTAACAACGCTTGTCAACCGGCTCATCAGACCACCAGCGCTCCAGCACCCAGATACCAAGGTAGAACCGCTAGTTATCAGGGTAATCGTTTCCAAAATCGACAGAATGGCTTCAGTGGCGGTCAGAACGGACCGAATGTCTACTCGATGCCGCCGCCTTTCATGATGCCGTCAGGTGGGCATGCGGATTCCGGGATTCAGAATCTCGTCAACAACAAGTTCTTCCAGACCAACCGACCGCCGCCCAACGCTGGGGCCTGCGCCTATCAATCGATGGGCCACTACAGCCAGTTTCAAGCGGTGCCGACGTACGGATACCCCTATCCGCCTACGCCGGTGCAGCAGTGACGCTTCCCGCGGTGCAAGACCGTCGGAGTACGGGCTAAATGAAGAGGTAGGTAAGGAAGACAAGGCCCCGCCTATCGGGCGCACTTGCATATGATAGCGCATCCAATTTAGATGGGGTAGACTGTCGATGATCATTAATTGACCTGCAAGAATTTCAGAAGCCCTTCATTTGGAATAATTTGGAATAATTGCGATGCATTCTGAGAATTTTATTCGAGCTCCTCAACCGGTCGGGGAACGTTTCTTGGACTTTAATTCGCCAACTTTATTAACACCTTCAAGGAAAATTATCTTTGTTGTCGAAGAAGAAGTTATATAATACACTAATATTTTTTTCCCGAGTTTCTCTCCAAAGAGATAATATCAGATACATTTGTAAAGGTTTTGTTTGTTTATTTGTTTGCTTGTTTGAAGTCATAGTCTTTGAATTTTGATTTTTGTTTATTTTCCATCGGTGCAAAAATTTTGAAAAATCGGCAGTCTACTATGGCCCATATTCTGAATTCTCTTTTATTCGTAAAATCACCTCTAAAGATGATTTGGAATCTTTTGATTGACTACGAGCCATTTTTAGAGATGCTTTTTATTGATAAGAGAGAATTCGAAATATGGGCCTATATATCTTTAATGTAACACACTCTTGTTTTTTTTTTTCATTAATTTTTTCTGGAATTGTGCCCAATGTTTCTTCAGTGTTTATTTCAAGATATTTAATCGGCAAAATTGTTGCTCGAGGAATCATATTTCAGATGAAAAAAAAAAGAATTTGATTTTTGTTTATCATTATCGCAGTTTAGGGGAAAAACAGATGCTTTAACAATTTGAGTCCAACTAATATATATATGTGTGTATATTGAGATAACACGCGTCACGATTAAGAGCTGTAATAATGCGAATCTGAGGAATCTATTATTAATTAAATGGCACGAAAGAAGTGCTAAACTATGTGAGAAAAAGATCATTCAAAAAAGTTATGAAATAAAAAATATAAATTATTATTATATAAAATTATTTATTTTATAAATTATGTAAATTATATATCATATTCTCAATATTATTTATATTCATATTTTATTGTATTATTTTACTATATCAAATAAATTAAATTAACTGATAAATTATTATTATTAAATATTAAATTAAAAAATACTTTGGACACTGCATCTACAAGCGATTTTTAAATTACGTAAAGGGGGGGGGGGGAGATTGTCTATAATACATCTTATTTATTTTCTCGCTCGTCCTTCCCGACCTAATTAAACTGGGAAGTTTGACGAAGCTATGGACTCGAATTGTTGAAAAGCATACAAAAGCTAATCAATCGAGGCACATTCTAGTTTTCAAATATTTGATGTAGTATTTAGCATCATTAGCGATGAGCATGCACACGATATAATATCGATTCTAGATGTTGATCGTCACGTTGATGGTCCGCAAATCCTTATAATTGAGAAATCAATAGTAATCATCTTGTGAGTACTATTATAACTATATTATAAATGCTTTTTCCGAAATGCACGAAACATATAGAAGGGGTTAAGACTATATATCAGGTGTAATAATTTATAATTTATTTATATAGTTCGCGTGAGATTACACACGTACACACAGAGAGAGAAAGAGAGAGAGAGAGAGAGAGAGAAAAGCGAATAAAACGCGCGATATACTGTATATGGGAAGAAAATTTGTAAGGCCTTTTGCATAAAAATTAAGCCGTTTTTCATGTGCCCCAGCACATAATGAACAAGTTGTCGTGCCCCCTGTTCCGCGAGCAAGAAATTTAAATAATAATAATAAAAAAGACGAACAAGAGAAAGAGAGAGAGACAGATAGAGTAGAACAGTTGTAGAATGTCTATTCGTTCTGGAAACAGCTCCGCTGACGGAACTTAAACCAATTTCTGGGCACTCCGACACAACTAATCGTAGCGTTATTAAAATAAGTGTCCCGTGCTCCGATGATCCTGATAAAAAATTCAAAACGAGCCTCGAGGTCTTTTGGATCCTTGAAATCCCGCGGTCGTCGATTTTCCTAAGTTTCCCAAGTTTCCGGAATTAAATTTAATATTAAAACAATAATTTTAATATTAAATTATTTATTTAATATTAAATAAATAATTTTTATTAATTGATAAATTTGTATTCGAGTGTCTTTTTTTTTTAATATTTAAAATCCTTTTGTATTTCTTGGAATAATGCGATATTTTTTGTAGGCTCCCAATCCTTGGAAATATATATTTACTTTGGACTTAAGCTTGTTCTCCCTCGAGCTCTGATATCCTACTAACACGAAGCATCTATAACTCTTCCCTGATCCTCTGAAGTCTGGGATCCAAGGACCTTGACGAGGCTCGAACGCTCGATCCTTGGAGAGACACAGATGGTTTCTAGGGGACAACACACGTAAAATTAAGCACGTAGTCACGATGGCTGTGTACCTCGACGCAAAAAAGTTTGATACCTTATTTTTATATATATATCGAAAGTGATTTGTTGTTGAACCAACGAATGATTATATGATACATTGTTGTTTGATGTTTATGCAATTGGCCACTGAGTGGTCTTGTCTCTGCGCGCCTTGTCGTACGCGCGGACTGGCCGCTATCGAAACTAACATTCAGTTGTACCTGCTATTTTAGTTGATTGTGACATGCAACGGTCCAAATTACTGCGCCGTCATTTCTCACTCCGGTGAACAGTGAAAGCGATTCTATTTTACTTTTTGCCAATGCTTCGTCCTTCGACCAGTATAATTCCAACGTCCAGGATTTATTTGCTCCTCAAGAATCTCAACGACTCCTTTTTTTTTGTTTCTTCAATGCTGCCTTTTCACCGGAACAATTGGAGACAATCCTCGATGTAAAGTGACTTCTTCAACATCGAGAAGGATTCTTAAGAGGATTCTATAAATTTTCAATGATTAGAGTTCTCGATTCTTGAACTGAAATTCAAGTCCTCAGACTTTGTGATGTCTTGGAGTTGCGTTTAATGGAAGGAGATACTGGTTGAAGGATGAATCGTCTTGCGTATAATGAACTAAGGATATAACATATTGTTGTATTCTGAAGCAGCCCTTTGCGGTACCGGAGGACATTTTTTAATCAACATGCCCGATTAATTGTCGAACTAATAATTGGCGCACGGCTGATATAGGGCATGTGATACATTTTATTAGCAGCGTATAGCAATTTTGCGAGCCTCCAGATTACTCTGCACATACCACCGTATATCATGTAATTATCGAGAAAAAAAAGATAGGAAGAGACGGTGTGATAAGGAGAAAGAAAAAGAGATAATTCTCTGGTCTCAATCAGGGAAGAAAGTAACTAGTCGAGAAACCTCATTTTTTCCCAAAAGAGCATTTCTCTCGTCGATTTCCATTTAATAGCAATTAATACTGCACAATTAAAAACATAGTTTTTCTTAGTTAATATATTTACCGATTGTTTTCGAATTTCATATGCGATTATTTTTTTTTTCTTTCGAACATTCATAAAAAAAATCGCGACGCGTAAATCGAACAAAGGTTTTCGTTTCTTCTTTAACTTTCTAGAAAGGCCAGAGAATTAATACGGATAAATAAATGCACTCGCGCAGGGACGCCATTAATTAATGACTGTTGATTGTTGGCGATTATTCACTCTCGCAACTTGTTTTTATAAAATAATTAGCCATCATCTCATCGCGCACGAGATGCAGAGAGATGCAGAAAATGCCTTTCGCAGAAAGGTCCCATTCGTCTCGGTTAGATTCGCGGATACTTTAGGGATCGCACGATCCCCGTGGACTTTCATTTCGAACGCTGTTAATTGTCGTAGAATCTACGGTATTTTTTGCGGGGAAAAAAAAACGATAGTCAATAACGTTTCAACGAAGCGGGCCATTCCTGGCAGTTCCTGATGATCAAGAGATGCTCGTATCTTCGGATCCTTGCGTCTTTGAAGATTCACGTTTCAGGATTTTGCTGCGATTTGCAGTTTTGTCGTTTTGTCGGCAAAATTGTCCGGTGGATTTTCAAACAGATTCTTCAGATTTTTTCAGAGCTTTTGGAACTCTTCTTTGGAAAAGGAGAGTTTTCGACGGTCCCTGAAAGTTTGGAACTCGGAAGTTTCGGCTATCTTAGGATCTTCAGTGAAATACGATGATGTAAGCTTCAAGACTTTAGCGAATAGGAAACTTTTAGCGCTCCCACAGTTGAAAATTTCGAAATTTGGGCAATTTCGAATTTCAAAACGCAAAAAAAAGGTCTACGGCATCTTAAAAATTTCAACATTTTTAGTTGATTTCGTATCTTCAGAGAATTCATATATTTAATTTATTTAAAAATTTTAATATTTTAGAATTGTAGAATCTCTTGCTTCTCAAGTGTTGCAGAATGTGCAGAGCTTTAATATCTCTTGTTTGGTCTTTTTTCAGTCTTTCTCTTCGATGTTTTCCGAAAAAGAAACTTTGAAAGATCTTGCATGATTTTATCCCTGGAAGATAAAATGTCTTCACTGCTAAATAGATACTTAAATCTTCGAGTTAAAGGATCCCTGGATTCTAGGATTCTTGATCGGCGAAAATATTCAGCTCGACACATGCGCCTACCTTGTCAGTCTGACTGCATATGTGGATTGAATAGTAATATAATAATAAGAAATGTATGTGTTGCGAGCACGAAAGAAAAATACTAAATACTCTCGCACATTGCGTGCACCTGCTATCAAATCTTTCGCGACAATCTTTCATCCAAGTCAATACAAATGGCACTGAACAAAAACATCGCTATAAAGTTAATCAATTTAATAAATTTAATTAATTTAATCAATTTAATCAATTTTATTAATTTTATTAATTTTCTTTAACGAGAAGAGCTATTGTTACGATGTTGGAATAATCATTACTGATGCTATTTGTATTCTACTTGACTTTTATAAAGAGTTTGAATTGATTTACAATATTGCATAACTATTATTTATTACACTATAATTTTGAATTCTTTGTCGTTCTCTTTATTTTCTTTTTTTTTTGTTTCTCGTCTTCTTTTTTTTAAATAAAATATTAAACAATATGGGTAGCAGGTGTACGTGTAGTTCTGTGATATGTAAAATGTAGCATATTTCTAGACCTACCTATCGTGCATCATAATTAAAGTAAGGAATGTATTTTCTCAGTTTTATAAGCAGTGTATCAATCATCTGATCGTAACGATATGCTTAATGCAGGGTCATCGATATTCATTTCTTTTTTTTTTAGCTAACGGGAAACGAAAGGGACACCGAAGGCACTTTCCTCTCATTTTTCTAGGGTAAACAGTATGATTAGACAAACTATAGATAATATGTCTTAATTAGATTGTGTAAGTTTTTTTTTCCCAAGAGATAACAATATGATAAAATATTGTCACTTTATTTATACATTATTATTTTTTTCTACAAATTTTCTCGTCTGTTAATAATAAGTAATATATTATTATTACAAAATTTTTCCCGAGCAAAGAAATGGTCGAGCCATTTTATGCAGGTCTTCAAATTCAAGAATATTCTTCCGCAATCTACAAATTAATTATTAATTCTCGCTATTGTTGAATTATATTATTTATTTTAAAAGCAGTTATATTTCAAATAAACATGAAATATAATTCTACAAGTGTTTGATACCTGCGACTGTGTAATGTTTACCCTATATTATAGTAGATGCTATAATTTCGATTGAGATTGTATTCAAGAAGCATAGAATTCTAACTCTAATTGTGCGAGTATCGATAAAGTGCACAAGTTGAGAGAGAAATTATACTCCATAAAAATACCACGAAGATGACGTATTTTAGAATGGTTGTATAATCTCAGAATCGAGACGAAATCTTTCATATCTCGTGACTATAAAATGCAGTTGCGGCTTTGTGTCTCCTATTCATCGAACACCTTTCACTTTTATTTCCATCGAAATGAACCAAAATTATAATTATAATTATAATTAAAATA